ATAAGCACCCAGGGGGCTAATTCGAGGATTTACGGTATATAGATCATCTTAGTTTACGACCTTATAAACAAATATATTTCTTCATCTTGTTGTTATGTTAGTTGGTATTAATTAGCTTATCGTAATTTTCTATAATTAAGCTAGAATTTTTATCCAACTTTAAATAAAGTATCAAAAAAATGTCAAACTGTAACCAAAACTTTGAACAGATTTCATAACCAAGAGAAAGTATGTTAAAAATTTCTGCCAGAGAGCTAAGCGTTTTAAAGCTCTAAATTATTGCAAACATTATTGTTATTGCAAACTTTATAATTCAAGCATTTATAAAATGGGCCAGAAATGAAGAGCACATGAAAGAGTGGTTCATTCCTTTGTCTGTTGTCATTCTCTCAAACCACAGCCAACTAGTCAGATTCCGCATACCCAAGGCATAAAATGTCAAGCAACAATTGCGGTATCACTAAGATAAGATAAGGTAGAATAACTTAGAAATGTTCTGCAGTTTATTGGAGTTAGTAAAGAATTGGGTCAATTTACCAGCGTTGTTAAGTGTTTGGTAAAAGTAATCAAATCAAAATTGAACTATGCCCTATGTTTTACTCATTTTGTCGCTCTTAAAAGAAAGCCAAAGTTGTTATACTTTGCTTCATAGACGTGGGAAGCATTTCAAAAGATTCCTTGGGGTACCAGTACCATAAAAGTTCGCGCGTGATAATAGAAGATAGAAACGGAGAAGCAGAGGTGCACGTGTTCGAATTTATGTAGCCTGTGATCCAGGCTAGAATTTATATATAGCTTTTATGCATCGGCGACACGTTACCAAAATAAAAATGCTGACATTTGTCTTTCTAGAGCTAAGGGGAAGTTTCAAAATGAATAGTGATGCATAAGAGACACTACAGAAAGAGTCGTGATCAAGACTTCTTCAAACCAAGATAAAACAAAGAACTATTCATTTTATCTTGTTGAAATGTAATGGCCTACGAGGATTCCTTTGTGGTAAAGTAAGTAGGCACTTGAGGATGATTAACGTGTGAAACACTAATGGGACAGTTCAAACAAAAGTAAACAAACTTGTAGCTCGAGAGACAGAAAAGCATGCTGGGTAATCCAGGCTCAACTCGGGTTGAGACACTGTCGAACCATTCGAACTTTTCTGGAAGAAAAAAACCTAAATTTCTATCCCAATCTCCTGCAACTAATGCACCAGATTACAGGACAACATCGTATGGTATAGTTTAGCTACTGCCCCCTAATTTGGATGTTCCATGACAGATGTCTGAATGCTAAAGTGAATAGAATCCATGAAAGAGCACTCAGAATTGTTTATAAAGACAGTCATGCTGACTACGAAGCATTGCTGACATTGGATAATGCAGTACCGATTCACCAACGCAATCTACAGTACTTGATGATAGAAATATACAAAACCAAACATAACCTGAACCCTAGTTTCACGAGTGCGATTTTTGAAACAAGAAATGTACATTATGATTTGCGAACTAAAAATAGTCTTTGCATTCCAAAAGCCAGGACAACTTCTTATGGTATAGAAACTGTGCGATATTTAGGTCAAAAACTGTGGCAAACACTACCTCACAGGATAAGAGAGTCCCAATCTTTGGCAAAATTTAAAAAAAAATTAAGAGCACACCCTGTAGAATGCGACTGTAGATTGTGTAAAATATTTATTGCTGGGCTAGGTTTTATTTAGAATATTATACCTTATACATTTTTAACATAGTACCATATATTTATTTTATACAAATTCTTCATAGATAGTTGGCCTTAATCAGCTTCTTTATAGCTATTAGACGTTCATTTAGTACGCCAACAAATTATTTATTATTTATTATTATTATATTACATAGTATACACCAAATCTAGGATACATTGGTTAGATATTTCTTGTACGTTCTCAGCTAACAAATTCTAATTTGTTTTTCAGATTGGAATTAAATACTTGATAGTATTTACTTGCAATTAAGCTAACTTTTTATCCAACACAACATAGTAACTTTCAGTAAAGCAATTAGAGAGGAAGAAATGCAACCGACCTCCTGAACTGGGTAAAGCTAAACCGGTCAGTTTGTTGAATCCAGGGGTTATATGTAGTTTAGTAAGAAATGGCACGAGGGGATCCTTATCAGTTACGTAGCATCACCTTCCAGACTAGGGGGCGGGGGGAGGGGTGAGTGGAAGGTGGCGAGAAGTAAAATTTACCGATGAAGACATAGATGGAGAGAAACTTAGGTGCTATTACATCTACTGATGGATAACTTCACCGACAAACAAGGGGCTTTTTGCACCAACTGAAGATTTACCAACAAAGTCATGAAAAATTTGGTGGTGTGTCCCATTACCTACACCCCTCGCTAGCTGCGCCCCTGATCCTTATGCTAGCAGTATCAATTGTACGCAAGCACGGGGAATTTTCCAATTCTAGATTTCCATCGGGATTTTCAACATTTTCATTAAAACATAAAAACATTTGCAAAAGTGGATTCTTGTTCATTGTATTTTCTCAAAACTAAAAAAGTTTTGAGGGATTAAGATAATATTGAAATTTAGTATTGAATAGCAAACTGACTCCAAATGCAAATTGAATTATGTGATTTACCTTCCAAATGCGGATTTTCAAATTGCCTCAAAGAATTGCCTTGAATAGCATATGAATTAATTATGGAGTTCTTTTCGAAAGCCAATTTGCTCCTAATCATATGTCGCGCGCACACTTTGTAAGATTGTCTGATCACTTACAAACAAGATTTCACAACCGATTGCTCTGTGATGCCACGTGATCTTTTTAGACTCATCGATTTATAGAGTTGTTAAGTGATGACGTCACAAAAATCTACTTTTATTATTTTTGAAATTTTTTCCCATAACTTGAAAGAGCATCATGAAATACCTCTAAATCTGCAAAATCAGTTAAAGGTATTACGAATTGGCTGAGATATGGCCACATGAGCACAAGCTCTGGCCCCATCAAACCTCTGTAATTTGGTCTCAGTTCATAACTTTATGAACTGAGCCAAAATAACAGTAATCCGTTAGCAAACCTCAAATCTTCGATTGGCCATAGCTCACCCAATTTTTGACAAATTTAACTGATTTTGCATATATGGGAGTATTTCATGGTGTTCTTACATGTTATGTGGTCAACATTCGAAAATTCTAAAAATAGTTTTATGTGACGTCACACTTGAGAACTCTATTAGCAGCAACGAGTGTGAAAAGTCAAGCGCACACAAAACATCAGCCATAATGGATTCCACCTTGCAAACCTACGAAATTCAAGCAAAATGTGAATCAAATCGGTAATGTGTTTTTGGGGTTGTTGGGGGAAGAGATGGTATGTGATCCCGAGATCTAATAAAGTGGTGTTAAGTTCCAACATTCGTGACAGGTCTTGTTTTTTACAGAAAGGTTTTTGCACATTAGCTGGGGAAGGAATAGCATTTTTATCGAATGTAGGCACATTATAATGCAACTGTTTTGTTTTCATCAAAGTCGTGATCAAGACTTCATAAAGAAAAACGTGATGTTTGCGTAGCGAGTTATGACTTTCGATTCGCGTAGCGAGTTAGAACTCGATTTGCGTAGCGAGTTAGAACTCGATTTGTGTAGCGAGTTACGACTTACGATTTCCCCAATGACACCTGTTTTAAGATAAGCCCTCGCATTATGGCGTAAACTGCTCACCCAAGAACCTCCTTAATCCAATCACCTTCGTCACTTTCACAGCGAAGCACCAGGCAACTTGATTCAAAATAAACTCCAGCCACAACAGATAACCTTTCTTAATTACTAGATCTAGCAACCAAGTGTTTCTTCTTCCAACTGCCAACATACACTCGTTTTTTTATAAGAAACAAAGGTCGATGTTGAGTACTTCTTGTTTCTTAAGAGTTTCTTAATTCTCACGTCAAGAGATTCGCTTCCGTTCCAATGCTGTATTTAGATGGGGGAAGTATATTTGTATCCCTTGTGTCTTTAGTTATAATCTTGTTCTTGGATTTCACAAAATTTCGTTGTCCTCAGTTTTATCACGATTTAATAGTTTCTTAATTTTTTTGCTTCGAGTACTGAAGCTTTTAATTTTTTCTGACTGTCCAGTACTCGTTTAATATACCCGTTTCTTAAAAAAAAGAGTGTAGTTGTTTAATAGCATAAACTTCCTTTCAAAAATCAAGGGTTCTGTTGTTGCATGTTATCTTGTTGAAGTTTTTGGGTGTTAAGCTCCAAGTTTTCTATTTCTTTTATTTAGTAGAACATAAAAAGATAAGCTGACTATAATTCCTGTCAAAATTCTTGGAAGACTAACGTCAGGTTTTAAAGACAAACTCAGCAATCTCCCCACCTCCGTTTAACTATGTCGGTTTCCATAAAACGATATATGGGATTTAATAAGGAAATTAACTTTTCATATGACTGATAGGTATTTGCTGAAACATCAACATTGTTTTAGGGTAAAGGGGATGAAAGCAGAAGTATTCGGGCAGAGGTGCCGTCCTTAAAAGTTAGGAAGGGGGCTATGCTGTTGGTAAATTCAAGAGGCCACACCCATGATCACACCCTTACCAAACACAATTTGCTTGCATCTGTGTTAAAAACTCTTGTGTGTAGAAATTATTCAAACTATTCGATGACGCAAAAAGACTGATAAGAAATTGCTTATTCACGAGAAATCTATAGTATAATAAAGGGTTGCCAACACAGAATTTGTCAAACCAAATATGAACTCACTTGTTAAGGGGAGCTGAGCCCCCTCCAAAATCTCACCCCTCCAGAATTTTTACCAGGTGGGATTAGTCTCCTGATCCCCCTCAGCGGCACCGCTGTATTCGGGGAAGCTTCTATAAATTCTTGCAGATAAAAACTGTCTTGATTGCTGATAACAGAATCAGTGCCCAATCCAGCATTCTGATTGGAGAAGGAACAAGAGAGTTGGGCTCCAATAATATGTAAAACAGATGTACACAACACTGGAAACATACCCTTTCATGTGGGCTCTCTGTTTTAGCTTCTATAAGAACCCTTCGTAAGGATTTTCATCATGGAGTATTGATGTAGGTATAAGCTTCTGGTCATATTCCGTGGTGGGCACAGAGGGTCGCATTTGTAAGCTTGGCTTGGTCAGTTACCTAGAACAAACGTCTCTACTAAAAGTTTACGGTCATATTATAGCATACATTTCCTCCAATTCGCATGTTGATAAAACATCAATTGAATTCCTAGGCTCGTTTTAAAGTTTTGATTTTGTGGCCTGCCTTGTTGCCATTGCCTTGAAAAGCCGAGTGGCGTAACATACACTATTGGCGATTGATTACTGCTCGTCGTTCTCTGACATGCAAAACAATCCCTTTGATCTCTGTATTATTTTGTAAGCTTCTTATTAAAGATGTGAAAGCAGAAGCAGCGTGTTTTTATATGAAAGTCAACATGCATACAACGAAATAGAGCTACATTCTCAATGACACTGAAGAATCATAGTAAAAGGCCAGGAAGCGTAAGGGTCCCCCCAAGAGGAAACATATATGAAAGTTTGATGCCACATCTTGGCAGTGGCATCGCTTGACCTTCCAGACTAGGGGGTGGAGGGGCATCAGCAATGAAATTAACCGACGAAGACAAAGCAATATTTAGATGCTAGTTCTACTACCGATAGACGATTTCACCGACAAAATTTAAGATTTTGCAGGCCAACTGAAGATTTATGAACCAACTCATGGAGAACTGGTGGGGGCTGTCACATCCCCCTACACCCCCGCTCGCTCTGCCCCTGCATCTTGGTTCTGGTTCAGAGAGGTGGAAAGAAACTCATTGAGTAAAGGAGGAATGGGGAAGCTGTCCTTGACTTGCAAACCAAGAGAGAGAGAGAGAGAGAGACACTGGTTCAGCATAAGTAATTGATAACAGTGGGATTCATAAAAACAGCCTTTGAATTATCTACATGCAGGACCCACGCCACGAATTTCAGGTTCAATAGACGAATTTGAATTTAGTGCTTAAAAACAGGGCCTCTTGAAAATATTTTGCTTACCAAAAAGTTGGGGGCTATGGTCCCTTCGCCCCCCCCCCTTGAAGCACTATTATCAATGAAGGACTTCTTATGGACTTCTTATGCAAATTTGATTAATAGTGAAAAAGACAAACGTTATTTTCGTTTTTAATGAGTAAAGAGTCGCTTTGTGGAAATGAGTAAAGAAATAAACTAATATTCCTTTATTGTCTGTCAATATCAACTGAGGGCCAGTCAAGGGATTTGGGAAGGGACCCTTGAAGGCTTCCCTTTTAGAAGAGTCTATTTTGAAGAAAACTGGGGTAGCATTTATTGGAGGGAGGAAGCTATTGACAGATGGTTTTTACTTGACAAAACAAAGCACCGCAAAAACACTGAGCACTGTGCCCAGGGCCCCTAGAGTACAAGGGGCCCCGCATTTGCTACCATGACCAGCATTTTTCGGAAAGGACTTATGACACATGACCAAAATTAAATTTGGGACAAATGTATTTGAATCTCGTACACTTCAGGTGGAAATCTGTTATTCTGTTTGAAAATTCCTACAAATCACTTTGGTTGCAATGGAATACTTGTACGCTATTAGCAAGTGAGTCGCCCTTCATTTTAGTTCATGCCCATCTTTAGCGAACCTACGACAATGCCTTTTAAGCAAATTGAAGCAAAATGAGCATTTGTTACAGTTTGAGTGTCAAGACGCAAGAAGGAAGATTCTCAACATATAACTTATTTGTTTCTTTTGGCTTCTAAAAAATTGGGTTTGAAAATTGCAGCACCTTTTCTAGGACTTGAGAGTGGGTCACAAGTGGTTATTCGTCCTTGTGGAAAGGTTGTGGAAAGGAATTAAGCCAGTTTTGAATCGCAATAGGCCAATCAGAAACGCGAGCAAAATAGCCGCTTGCCTATATTCCTAGCGTACAGTTTTCGATCTTTGTTCTGAAAGAGTGTCAGACGAAAAGCTTCAGTATGACTCAAAATGTTGGCTTTTTTCAAAGCCATTTTTAAGTTTTGTACCATCAAAAGATTGCTTACAAGTATTCAGATCAAGAGAATCCAACGAATTTTGGCTTTAAGTCATGGATCTGTGTTCCAAGTCAATGTTTTGACAGTGCAGAAGACGCCCAAAGATAGAGAAATTCGCGTTTTGGGTGTATAGAATTGGACGGTTCTAAGTTGCTACTACGAGTTGCACGCTTAATGCGATCATCAGGGAACTGTTGCAAGTATAAAAAATTTATCTAACTTAGTTTTTGAAAAAGACCGGCCTGAAACCGCGTACTAACTTATAGTACGTAGAAAATTCTCAATTTTGGCTTTATTCAAGAAAAAGATAATGTCAAAACAGCCAAGCCCCCTTGGTTCGATTATCTTAAAAAATTTGGCATGAAATGACAACTGTGTGAAATAAAGATAACTTCAACTTTTCTTTGACAGCCTAGGAAATATCAGTGGCACTTTGAAATTGCTGTCACATGTATTCTTACAACATCCATCAATTTTCAGTCATGTGGTAAATTTTTATCATAGAATTTTCTTCTCAAAGGTACTATTTGTTAACAACAATAAAACCACTTTTATCTGCGCAACGATCTTTCCTCATGATGCACATTTCGAACAAATTCATTGGAAATCCATGCTTGGATTTTCTCAATGTGAGCAAAGCGTGACGTTCTCAGAGACTTGGAATTCGACATCCAAGGTTCTCAAAACTGACAAGAGATGGAAATTCATGAGAGTAAACTTATCGATTAGACAGAAAACAATCGCTAATTATGCGTTGGGGATCATTGGTATTTTACATGCTGCGCCTTATTATTTACAGGATAAAAACTATCATTATAAGATTACCAGCCGAAGTCAATTCCAGTGATTTTGTACAATTGCTCGTTATATGGCCTATAGAATTTTTTCATAGCCTCTAGTGTTCTTTGCGAGACGGGTGGATGCGTGCGTCCTTTCGATTTTCCAAGACATATTATATCCTTTGTAATATGTTGATTGAGTTTTCTGTTTTTCAGACAGTAGAACTTCTTTTTTTTGCTGAAGAAGAAATCTTGCTTGGTGATCTCAACGTCCAAATTAAGAAACTTTTGCACCTTTATGACCTCTTCCCCAGGGTGTTTAATTAGATCATCTCCATTAACGATGTGAATTTGTCGCATAGGAAAATATTTAAGCCATCTCTTGAGATGATTTGAGTACAAGCTATTCTGTATGAATGGCATATTGCTATTGAAAGTACTTGTACTATTGTTCCATAATACCGTTTCGATATCATCTCCAATAATATGCTTCTTCTTTCGTGTCTTCATATGTACATAATCTGATATCGCTCGTTTCACTGGATTTCGAAATATCAAAATAAGCTTCGTATCAGGTGACATTTGATGAACTCTTTTTGGCACACCGCCTGTGATAAAATATCTAGGACTCTTTTCCAAAGTTATTTGACGCGAGAAGGATTTCGGCATTTGCTTCCTATACCAGTTCATGCCTTTAAGATAATTCTCTTCGTTGTCAAAGAAGTGAATTTCCTTATTACTGGCTCTGATTTTTGAATGAGCACGAAGAAAGACAAGTAATGCTTTCGTACCTCCCTTTTTCACTCCAATTATCAATGCTTTCGGCAATCGTCTCTCGTATTCTTCATTCCTTTGCATCATAGATACTGAGACACTGGGCAGTTCACCAATTGACTCCATGAAATAATTTTTCCGTGTGGTTTGCTTCGACGTAACATTATAAATCTTACTTGCATTTACCCTCGAATTGTGTGTATCTGTCATAGTTCCAACACGAAGGTAAACTATGTTTCTTGTTGTGCTTGATGTAAAGTAGCCCCTGCCATAAATGCAAACGAATACAATTGCAAAAAATATGCAAGTTAGAGCAAGTTTTATTGATTCCTGGCGTTTTTCCAAAGGTGCTGCCATTAATGTCTCCTCTTTGCTCTGTGGCACAGTAACTTGGCAATTATACTCTTACTGCTCTAAGCAATAAAGACAGAAGTCGATCAATCCATAAAAGGTGTTTTCAAATTCTTTAACAGACTGCAGTGAGTATACAAAAAGCAGCGCGACTTCACTTCAACGGCGTACTGCTGTGGTTTTGTACGTGAACTAAGTGAAAACTCAAGGAAATTGAATTTAAGTGTTGATCCGAAACGCCTTTGTTTCTCATCCATTTGTGATATGAAGTTTACCATAAAAGATTTTTGATTTTCTATAACCGTATTATACACTGTTTTCAGGGGGGATGCAGGTTACCGTCTTACCTAGGTATGCTCCTCCGGGAAGCAGAGGCGGATTCAGAGCAAATTTGAAGAAGGGGCGGTAGTGGTGGCGCTGAAAAATGTTGACGAGTGTACGCTGTATATAACAACTTCAGACTCTAACTGCTAATAAAAGGCTCTTCATTCACTTTGCAAGGAAATTTCCACAATAATTGTTGTATATTTTGAGGTAATCCTTGAAGAAAATTGACCTATAAGTCTTTTTCAAATGATTCTTATTCTCCAAAAAGGGCGCACAATTTTCAAGAAAGGGGTGCCAGACTTGCTTCAACTCGGCGAGGAAGGGGCAACTGCCCTTAGTTGTCCCCCTCCCCCAAACTTAAGTCCGCCACTGCGAAGAAGTGAGGACGAACGAAAAGTTTCAGTTCGCTTCTCATCGAATGCTTTAAGTGAAAATCATAGAGATGTGATAAGAAAAAAGGCGAGAGGATGTTTTCTCTAGGTCGAAAAAAGTGGCTTAGCTCTATGAAAAGAGCAAGAGAAAATCTTTAACAAACAAGAGAGGTTCAGTTTCACAACCTTATTGTAAAACAATATATTTCCAAAGATCAGAAAGAATGATGGTTGCATGTGTGAAAATGCTGTATTGTGATTTAATATTGTAAATGAGGCTGTAAAATAAAAAGGAGATTAAGGCGTACCGGATGATAGTTAAAGTAATTCAGAGTAAAGTGGAGTAGAAGAAAAAGTGTTTGAGAAATTGAAAGGAATATTGAGGAGAATTTACGAGGTTTTTTGTGTTATTCTTGCCAAGTCAGACATTCCGTTACACATGGCTGATGACTGGGAAAAACTTCCTATAACTTCAGATGCCCCACCCACGACAGTTTCCAAAGCCTAGTTTCCAGGCGCCTAGTTTCCAAAGACTTTAAGGGATCTTCTGAGAGATTAAAAGGAAGAATATGGACACTTTCCAGGATTCTCTATAGCTCAGTCAAAGCTGGTCACTCTCAAACCCTATGAAATAAACGAATCTATTTCCACTAGTTCAGGTGTTCTATGTTTCCATAGAAGCTGTAGAATAATCTTTTGATATTTACATAGTTTATAAAACGCATTCTATTTTTGGATACAACGATAAAGGATGCGAAGCCCTCTGAGACCCAGTCGATTTCTAACATAACATGAGCATTAGATATAATAATGTTTCAAATGGTTTTGCATCAATTACCTGAAAACATCTTTAAGAGAATTTCTAAGAGTGGCTTTTATCCTTACCTCTTCATTAGATTTACATCAAAGCTTTGTCAGCCTCTCCAAAGGAACCAATATACATAAAGGTTGAGACAACGCAGCCTCGAGATGGTGTGGCCCTGGAAGTTAAAATTGGTATAAGGATTATAGAGCTACATTTCACAAGAAAACGTTTTTCAAGAAACCTTTAAAATGTATCAAATTACATCTATTTTCTATAAATATATACCTGATTACATAAGTATACAAAAGATTCCTCGTTATTTTTATTTATTGCATCAATTTACTGCTAAAGTTTAAAATAACTAAGTAAGTTTGGCTTTTATCGTTACTGCACAAGTATTTTTCTTACATAGTAAGAAAAATTAATGTAACGTTCTGTTACTTTATTGATTTAACACTCATTGTTGATTTTCTACCGTTTTGTTGTACTTTTATTACTTTTTACTGTAGATGTGTTATACCATTGGATATGTTAAAATTAGATGGCCTAGACATCTACTAATTTTTCTATTCGCTTGTTTAACTTTGTTTGAGTATATATGTTTTACAATTCGGCTTGCTTCTCACTTTTAAATTCCCCTGTACAATTCGGCTAAATGATGACTCTTCGATCCTTGTCAATAGATTTCAGCCGTTTGGTAAAAAGTAAGCTGCAAAACTTTGAATAATTAAAGAACAGTGAGTTCAAGAAAACTTTTGTCATAATGTCATAATGAAAAAAAAACAAAAGCCATCTAACTCAGGTAGGTTTTACAAATCATAGGGGTGGAGCCAGTGTGGCTAAACGTGATGTTTTCGACAAGAAATAAACAACGATAGAATAAAAAGGTTATTAAATAAAACCGCTTAAAACACTTAAAATTCAAGTTAAAATTGTGATTAAACTTTTTTAGAGACGTCAGGCTGGACATTCAAATTTTGTCCTTTAAGCTTTAATTCAGCTGGGTTTTTTATGATATTGAAAAATGACGGAATTAAAAATCACATCCAACCCAAGAGCTACAGTCCCGAACAAAAAAGTTGAGACAAAATGCAATTTTTGTAATTTTCTACTTTAACTTACCCATGTAAATTCGAATCCCCCCTTTCCCAAATTAGGCTTAGTTACACCCCGAGGTGTAAGATTAGGAAACAATAAGAGACGTTTTTGTGACCACGCCCTTGACATTTGCAGAGATCGCCTCTTTTGAAGAGGGTATCACCCTGTACTTTTGAAAATGGTAACATTTTTGAAATAGTTGTCCTTGAAAAATATTTTGAAAAATGCGTGCACTATCGATGTCAAGGGACTTGGCTCCATACCTCTCTGGAGTTTTTTCCAAGTCTCTTGAGCTGGTATCTGTGCTTTTTTCATAATCGGTTAACACTCATGCATTGTCTTGTGCAGCATTGTTTATGTGCAGTGTGTTTCAACTCAAGTTAAAGAGGCTCCCATTAAGTAAACCAAGAAAAAGTGAAATTATAGTTCTTGACTAGACAGACGTGGTCTATCATTTGCCGATATCAGTGTTTAAATTTAAGATCATTAATTTGCAAAGACCTTCTTTATAAATAAACTTGAGTTTAGGCCAACATTACCTAACCCAATTGGATGTAACTATAACTTTTGATGAGGAAAGCCATGCTTTGGCGCTGTCTGATATCGAAACTATCATTGCTTGTAAAAACTTGGTCTTCAACATGATTTACCTTGCAGCACGTCAACCATTTCCTTCTCTTCCGTGGTTTTGTGGAGTTTTGAAAACTCGCAGAAGTTAAAAGGATATTGTTTGATCGTATTCAACTCCAACTCAGTCACCGCCATAAGTTCCTTTCCAATTTCGAATAATCTTTTATTCTTTCTTTACTCATTTCTTCCCTCCACAGTAGAGGAATACTCTCTAATTATGTGCTGTGACAAATTTTTAGTTACCATGTTGAGAAGGTTATCTACTCGCCCTGTGTGCCAGAAACTTAATATAATGAAAAAGAAGAGGTCAACCCCCCGAAAGATGAATTTTTAGGCTTTTAGATTCCTGCCACAAGTTTTGCTACCCACTGTATGGCCACTGATTGGCTAACTCCCTCTGACTGGTGCAAAATTTCGTGAGTGGAGCGCACGTGCGTTTTCTGATTGGCCAGAGCAGGAACTTCGCATGACAAAATACAGACTAAAAGCAAAGAGCGGGAACTATTGTTCCAGTGGCACACAAAACAAAATGATTTTTAGAAGATGGTGGTCTGCAGAATAAACCATATAAAACTGGGGGCATATTGACTTCTCCATGAAAGACACGTAGCCGGCGGGTGCACTTCTATACCAAAAATGATGCCAAGGCTTGTCTGTAGAATCACTGAGAAAGGGGTATTAAATGAGACTAATACTAGGACCTAGAATTTGAAAAAAGGGGTATTTTTCACCAGGTCTGTCATTTTATATACTACAAGCTGAATAATTATGAAATAGAATTTAGAAAGGTGTAGAATATTGTACTTTTCATGATAATGTATTAACAGCAAATGTCATTCTTATCCTTAGATCTCTGTCAGTGATTTGCAAAAGTTAGGGTCTTGTGTGAATATGGAAGGGCGTGAGATATCAATGAAAAGGGGTATAACTTTTTCTGAAATATTAGAGGAAAGGGGGTGTTTTTAAAGGCTACGGACAAGCCTTGGTATCATCTTTGGTATAGAAGTGCACCCGCCGGGACACGTAGCCGGAAAGTCCAGGACATAAACAATATTAACAAACAATACGAATGTGAATAATATGTTTTCATAAAATAAGAATTAACATTTGCTATAAAAATTCTGACTGGAGCACTTGCTCCCTTTGCTTCCGCTTAGATGCGCGCCTGGGCATAAAACGACAACTGTGTGAACTAAAGATAATTTCAACTTTTCTTTGACAGCGTAGGAAATATCAGTGCACTTTCAAATTGCTATCACACGTGTTCTTACATGCTAGTCATCCATCAAAGTTCAGTCACATGGTAAACTTTTATCATAGAATTTTTTTCTTCAATTTTCTAGATGTGAGCAAAAGCGCTCATTGCTCAAAGCTTGATTTCTAGAGTAAAATCAAAGAAAATGTGTGTGAACAAAGAAAAGGTCACGATAGCAGGCTGCCTTTAGACGGAGCTTGAATGATATCTAAGTTGTTCTTGCCATGCAGTGCCATCGGAAAAAATTAATATTGGGGGGGGGGGAGCCTATTCTATTGCTTCCTTCTCCGTACACTGTTAGTTTGATAATTATTGGGGGGGGGGCTCCAGCCCCCTGCTCCCAACGGCTCTGGTCGCGTGATGTTCAAATCGTTACATAACAAAGTTGATATTTTTAATGGTCACTGGTTGAGCAGCCAGGTACATTCATTGGTTGAACAGCAGCTGAAAACATCAGCATCCAAGGCATAGACGTCCTTGACGATTAGAACTTCACCATTACCAGAATCTTAATCTAAACTTTTACAGAGGATCTCAAAATTACTGACACCCCCCCCCTCCCCTCCCCAACACACTCTTAACTGGGTACGTCCCTGTATGTCATATTCCTTGCATCTATCTTATAACTTAAGAAACCATCTAATCTACGCTCTTTACTTGTATGTAAGAGCACACTTTTAAAATAACACCTATCAGAGACTCATTTTTCTGAATAAGGAACAGTGTAAGAACATGTTCAGCCAGCCTCAAATGAAAAACTAGAAGAACAGGTAACGTGTTTTGTAGATTTTTTCCTTGTCAACAAACAGAGCGAAAGTTATCAGCTATTGAACCATTATTCTAAAAATTTAATACAAAACCTCTATTCAGTGGTCTCATAAACTCTTATGTGTTATATATAACCCAGTGTAGAAATAAGAACAACATCAAGAACGCCCGAACAACAAATTATCTAAAAAAAGAACATAGCGTGTTGGCTAAGAAATGCATCCCTGAGCCCCCACCCACTTGATCCCTGATGGCAGAGCCGATGCCAGTGGGGGGCATGGGAGGGTGCATCGTCATCCTATAAGGCTATTTTTTAGAAAATTTGAATGCTTGTCGGAAAATGTTAGGACTCTCAACAAGTCACATTCCAACGACTGGCTGATGATAATCTTCTTAGCTTGCCATATTCATTATTAGCAATTTTACTTTTAATCGATTCTTTTATATTGCATTGACTGAAAATAGCCAAAGTTGGTCCGTGCGGAATAATTTAGTGGTCCTTTGTCTTGACTAGTCACTTCAACAAGAAAGCAACAGCACCTTGAGGAAATATATCTGCATCTAAAATAGAGCACATTGGGTTGTGCAGTTGGCCATTGGACCTATACCTTGCAAATGGGAACTCACAAGTAGATACGCATGCGTAGCACCAATAGCTCACTGAGGTAGATATGTCGTCGGAAAAATTATGATCTTCGCCCCACTACATGTCACTGCTGGTGTTGACCCTGCCTGATGGCATGGACTAGTATTTTTAAAATGAATATTTTTAAAACTCAGAGGTATGCTGTGATACTATAGTGGAATTAGATATAAAAACGATCTAACCCGGATAAAAGTAATACAAAGCTGTAATTTGGCACAGATGTTCTATACTAAGTTGGAAATGACCAGAAAAAAGCCCCATCAATTAGACATTGGGAATTCCTTATTTGGGCAAATACCATAATGGCGCACTGATCAGTAGTGGTTCAAAATTTTAATGTTGCTAAAACCACATAGTATGTACATCTTTTGAAAGATAATTTCATGCTGAATAATTTTTATTCAACATACGTACCCTTAGAATATGCAAATTTAGTGGTGATTGGGCAGAAACAAAGTGGGACGAGTGAGTATTGAAAAGCGCACGGAAAAAATGGCTGATCCTCTTGCTGAATATTTTCATTTTATATCGCAAATTCTATCGATGCAAAATCATTAAGTGTGTGAATAAGATAACGTATGATAATACCCACTCAGCCCGGGCTGACTCAAACCGGGCCCACTCAGCCCGGGCTGACTCTAGTGAAATTTTTTTACTGCAGCAGCAAATTCCGGTCAAATCCAAAGAAATATATAAATATTAAAAACAAAGTAACTCGCGACCGAACGGTCTAAACAACATGATTTTTTCATTATAAACTAATTTAAAGATGAAGATTTCAATTCTGACAGTTTTTCAACTTTTTTCATTGACATCCTCCATCTTAGTAATTTTTGTTTCTAAGACGTAAAAAAACTGCCAAATTCAGTGCAAATTCAAAGTGGCTGCACAAAACTACAGCTTGATGCTGGGCCAGTAATATTCCCTTTATGCCCTTCTTTACCAGGAAAAGAGACCACTTCCAAATTACGTATAATCCCAAAAATTGCAAACTTTTCAATTGAGAAGTGCGTACATGAAAAAGAGGGTGTTTTGAGAGTACCTAGGCCCTAAAACCCGGAAAATAGTTATGAAAAACGGGAAACCCGGACTTGGAAATTTGAAAATCTTGAGGCAAATATATATACTTCAACGTGGTTCACCTTTTCCCGTGTTCTGTATTAAAAGACCTTCGTACCCGCAGTTATTACCAGCAATAATATTTGTCTACAAGGCACAGGGTAGATCCTTGCCTTTTTTCTCCAAATGAAGATGTCATCAGTGTTTGCGGAAGAACAGAATTTTAGGAAAATTTGTCGTAGAGTGCGGAAATCTGGCAATTTCTAAACGGAACGAGGGAATTCTACACACTTGCCCGACGCAGATTCTCTCAAAATAATACACGGATTGCAGAAATTTCAGAATGTTTAGCGGGATTCTTAACCTGCTCCTTGTTGGATAGGATTTCATCATCGCATGTTTTGATCTTGTTAATATATAAGTTGTTCATAAATAAACTTATATACATTCAGAGGTGGCGCCAGAAATCTTCCGACAGAGGGGTTGGAGCTTCCAACATTGAGGCTAAATTGACTATAATATGCAGTTTTTCGTACGTTATTTTGTCAAATTTGCTCCAACAATAACCTAATATTTTCTTCCAATAGGGGGGCTAGATGCTTCCGATGGAGGGACTGTAGCGCCCTAGCCCTCCCCTAGCGCCACCACTGTATACATTCTATTGCCCAGTTGCCCCCTATCTGCTATTTTTGACCAGAAAGTACTTATTTCCACATTGTAAGGGCGTGTATGTTGAATGAAAGTTGTTCAGCATGAAACTGTTTTTCAGAATATGTACATATAATGTAGTTTTAGCGAAATCAAAATTTGAACCCCTGCTGATCAGTGCGCCATATTGGATTTGCCCAAATTAGAAATTCCCAATCAGGGCCGCCGGACGCAGTTTTGAACAGGGGGGGGGGGGGGGCAAAACAAATAAAAAGGGCACAAATATTTTTTCCCGAAACATTAGTAAGTGTCAAAAATGGTACAGATTTTACTGTAATTTAGACAGTTATAAAAATTATGACACACGTTGGACATAATAATGATACTAATTGTCTTACTTTCATATTTAAACAATTTCGCCCCCATTATTAACAAATTATTAGACAAAATTATAAGTAAACATTATTAGAAACAAATTAGGTTTATCTCGTCAGTCTTATGAACGAAACAAGTTTTTAACTCTCCTTAAACTTGACCCCGGGGGGCTCAGTCTGTTTGTAAAACGTATTACATGTGAGTTCCGAAAAACTCGAAAAAAGCTAGAATTCTGGGACATAGAATCTTCAAAACTGGGTTGCATTCTTAATCAGTCAGAGGAAACACAAAAAGGGCAGGAATTTACTGATATGATGTTGCAGATAACTTTCTAGATAAATTAATGGCATATTGAAGTACAAAAAATTTTGCAGTAGGTCTAGTCTTGTATATTGTTCTAATCCTAGATAAGAAATTTAAGTCTTTGTTAGCATGTACTCATTGCAGGGACACAACTTATGCATTTCTTCATAAAAAGCATTGAACACAATGTTGTGAAGCAAGCAATATGTTGCAGTTATAGTTTTGCAGATGTCTGATTTTATTAATATATATGTCAAGAACCACAAGGGATTGTTGTTGAAATCAAATTTAGTGAACTCTGTTTTTTAACTTGCCTAGTCATAAGTTTAAGAAAAATAATGGTTCTAACATGAATTGGTATCAAAAGTTCCTGCTCAAGCTTGAATATTCTCAGTGAAAAGAGTTACATAATTTTGGCAAAGTCATAGAATAGGGTTTATTTTACGCATCCCAGAATCAGAGATAGGGCTGCAGTTTCTACTTTCAAGAACACACATGATATATATTGGACCAACTGACTGTGCCCGCCGGGGACTTGACCGGACCTTTCTCGCGGAACTGGCAGTCTCCTTCGCAGTTGATATTGTTCATCACAGGAGCTTGCGCTTTTTGCATCAAGACCAATAGACCAGGCTACAGTGGCGGTAGGTGCCACCTCAGGGCGGAGAAATTCAAATGGATATTTTCAGGTAGCTATTGGTCTGGTTACTTGGAAAAGTGATGGTGAACGGGGAATCGTTGGGGTTCGTGGGGTAAATACGGGGGGTAAAGTTCGTCATATTAGCATATTACCTCTGCGGAGGAGCCACTGTTTTGTTAACGACTTCAGAGCATGACAAGTGCTTGTTATCATAAAAAAGTAATCTAGAGGGAGTCTTTTAGAGCCTCTTCTTTAAAACTGTTTTTAACTATGTATAGAATAATGGTTGCGAAGACATGATAATTTATTAGGTCCGTTTGATTTCATGCGCATTTGGTTATTACGTGATGACTCCACATCTCCTTCAGATGCTGGACAACTTTTTTCGCAATTCATCGCTTTGAAAATATTTGTACAAATAGTAACACCAATATGTAACGCAATGAACTCAATAAATCACGGAAATACGTAGCAGAACAAAAAGACCTGTGTGCATCATTACCAAGAAAGAATTGTTTTGCTCTAAGCGTCATTTTCTTTATTTAAGTTGTTATTTTCGCTCTGAAAATTGGATACTCTGTGCACCTTTAAAGTATTGAGGAGGTCCTGTTTTATTTATATTTTTAAACATGCAAGGTCTAAGCTGTATTGTTCATTACTCGAGCAAAGATTGTCTGTACAGTAATATTAAAGATTTGTCTGACATAAATAAAGAAAAAATTGCAAAGGCTACTCGTTTACGACTTGGTGGCAAAAATCTCCACGAAGAACAATGCAGCTCCATTCCTGACGAGGTTGATCCAAATAAGCACGGAGTTCACTTAGAACCTTGTTAAAAAAAAATTTACAAAGATCCTGTCCCGTGAGAAATTCCTCGCAGAAACTAGCACTGAAGCTATTCAGCGTCCACAAACACTAAAGACTGCAGCTACTCAGAGACCAGATGTTTATCCCCAGGTGTGTAATTTTTGCCAAAAGTACCGGGTAAAGAGGCAACAGAAACATCATGTACCAATAACGATCACGAAGAAGCAGGCCGAACTAACGTAAAAGAAGATGCCGAAGCCATTATCGATCAGAACATTTATTATGAAATTAAAGATGTTGATCTCATAGCTAAAGAATTTAAACACCATGAATTCTGCTACAGAGAGTTTACAAGGAAAAAGAAACGCTTTAACTCGGCATCCATCGAAAAAAGTTGTTGTACGCTCTCCATCCTCAGACATCGACATCTTGGTAATTTTATTAAGTATTATTAAAGAGCAAAGTCAAGTATATCTCGATTTTGGAGTTGGTTTGAATAGAAAAGGACTATTTTTGTCTGATATTGAGATGGAAGATGGGTTGAAGAAATGCCTGATAGGCTTTCATGCATTCACGGGGAATAACTATGTGTCTTTTTTTCCGCAAAGGGAAATCAGAATGTTGGGAGGTTGTCCAGAAGAACAACAGATTTGTTAACACATTTTCCCTACTTGGGCAGGTATGGGAACTTGATGAGCAAATATTTGTTAACCTTGAAGAATATGTTTGCCATTTATATGGATATCGGCAAAAAATGTCAAGGATGTGAGGAAAAAATTATTTGGCAAGAAGTATGTAAGGCAAGGCAAAGCCATAGACATTTCACTCTTGCCTCCATGCCAATCATCACTGAGGCTACACATATTGCGATCAAACATCATTGCAAAGATTTGGAAGTCATCGGGTGAAAGGTCCATAAATTTGACAGATCTTTCTACTTCGTGACCTTCGGAGATGATAAAGAAAGTGAAAATGAAACCTAAAATGGATAAACAATGACAAATGCAGGTATCTTTGCCTTAACTTGCATCTTTTAACATTCAAGAGTATCAAACAAAAGAATACGTGGTACAAAAAAAAGAACAAAGGTATTCTGTTAAAAAAGCTCACCTTCCAAATATGGTAAGGGGTAAAAATTGGTCACGTGACTACTCTTATTGTAGCAATATGTCGAAACGTAAAGAAGAGGCTCTAAAAGACTCCCTCTAGATCATTTTTTATGATAACAAGCACTTTCACTTATCTGAAGTCGTAAACAAAACAGTGGCTCCTCCGCAGAGGTAATATGCTAATATGACGAACTTTAACCCCCGTATTTACCCCATAAACCCCAACAATTTCCCGTTCACCATCACTTTTCCAAGTAACCAGACCCATAGCTACCTGAAAATATCCATTTGAATTTCTCCGCCCTGAGGTGGTACCTACCGCCACTGTAGCCCGGTCTACAAGTATCCATTTAAGGAATTTTCAATGAATGGTCCTCCAACAACGTCCAGAGTTATGTTATTTTACTTAGTTTCTAAAGGCAGAAAATCTGGCATTGAAAAAATACACGCAATATATTTTTCAAAAAGGGGCACTTTTTTATACTTTTTGCAAACAGGGGGGCCTGTGCCCCCGTGGCCCCCCTGGCTCCAGCGGCCCTGCCAATGCCCTATTGATGGGGCTTTTTTCTGGTTATTCCCAGTATCGTATGGAACCTATGTGCCAAATAACAGCTTTTTATTATTTTTGTCCGGGTAAAATCGTAATTCCACCACACTACGAGGCAAATTTGTTTACTTCCGCCATTTTGAATATTGAGCCCTTATAAATTTGGTAAAAGTAAGAATTGATTTCGTTCACTTCTCTTTTGAATATCGATGTGAAATTTGGTGAGTGGCCTCATATTGCAATTTAATTTATGAATTGATGTTAATATTGGAAAAATAAGCCGTCAATCGCAATTTCCAAGCAATTACAATCGCGGTGCTTGCTGTGGTGTTTTCTGTCTCGTCGAAATTCCAGAAAATAATGATTGATCTGTTTCAACTCGGATCCAGCAACAATGTTTAACCACTTAATGCGTAATTTTCTTAACACTGCAAATATGTTATATGTTGTTGATTTATATTTCCTCTAACTACTTGCATCAGGAAAGGCACTGAAATAGTTATGAGCCACGAGAAAATCGTTCATTAAAACAAGCAATTTTTCATACTGAACCCTATTGCAGCACGTTTTTGCCACTATTAAAAAGGCGGAAGTAAACAAATTTGCCTCACTCGGCTATACGCAGCATGACCCGAGTTAGAAATCTAGCGCCTCCAGCGCTTCATTGGAAATAAAAACTTGAAATCTTCTGCGCAGCAGCATGACAGCAACAACCGCAATTTCAGAGTTGCAAACACGACAAGCGGTTGGAAACAAATTAATAAGTTACTTTGTATGACTATAAATTTATAGTTCAAATAATTGTATAAAAATTTTAATTGAATTATTCCAAGTATTGATGAAACATATGGGAACTCTCTAGGCTCCGTATTGCAGTTTTCTGGCTCATGGCCTAAGCTGGCATCACCGTAAGTGGAAAGAAGCCAACAACAGTGCGGCACACTATGGAGTGGGGAAGGAAACGCTTTGTTGTTCTATTTGTTTTCCTTGTGATCGTATCATTCATCTTCATGATGTTTGTTTATGACATCCCAGCAAGCATAAAGCATTTACTGCAAGTGAGTGATAAAAGGAATGTTGTTACCTTAGATTCAATCGGCTCGCCATTCGATGACCAAAATGAGCATGTCCTTGCAAAGGATATATGGGATGGAGGACAACTATTTGGGAAACTTGCTATTTCTAGAAAGAGATTCAATGGTGAGAAGGCAAAGAAAAAAAAGAGGAAGGGACAAAAGAAGAAGATTACTTACGGTGAAAAGGTTTTAACAAGAGGAAAGTATAAGTCAAGACTGCCAAATGCCATAATAATTGGTTCAAAGAAAGCAGGTACTCGTGCTCTTTTACAGCATCTAAAAGTGAATCCAGAAATCAGAACTTGTGGAAAAGAGGTACATTTCTTCGACAATTATTATGACAAAGGTTACAATTGGTACAGAGTTCAAATGCCTCCTAGTTTCACAGATGAGATAACCATGGAAAAGACACCAGCTTACTTTGTCACAAAATCAGCACCAAAGAGAGTAAAAGACATGTGTGAAAAGTTTCTCCTAAAAACTAAGTTTTTAGTGATATTAAGGGACCCAGTTGAAAGGGCTATTTCTGATTATACTCAGGGTTTGGTAAGGAAAAAAGAGAGGAATGTCAAAAAGAATTCTTTTGAATCAAAAGTATTTAAAAAAGGTAAGAAGAAGAAAGAGGTTAATGATGGTGCCACTATTATAAAAACTGGACGCTATATAGAGCACCTGAATGAATGGTTAAAGTATTTTGATATAAGTAGATTTTATTTTGTTAGTGCAGAAAGATTTGTCAGTGAACCATGGACAGAGCTTGAAGGAGTTCAGAAATTCCTCAATGTTTCAGTTTCTATTACCAAAGACAGCTTCTGGTATAACAATACAAAGAAGTTTTATTGCATCCAGAAAACAAATGGAAATGGAAAAGCTAGAACCATGTGTTTGGGAAACACCAAAGGAAGAACTCATCCAAAAATTGATACAGAAACAATACATATTTTGCAGAGTTACTATAAGCCATTCAATGATGAACTGTATAAGAAAACTGGGAGGAATTTTGGTTGGCCAAGTTCTTGAAAGGTTTCTGGCATTCTCTAGATTGTGGTCAATTGTATTCAATTGAGACTGATTTTTTTAAGACTTTGAAAGAAATGAAAACTTTTATATATTCAGTATCTAATCATACAAAGTAGTATTAGGCCAAAAAACTGTATGATATCATGGTATTTAAATAATGTTTTTAAAAGGTGCGTTCTACATAATATTATAAGTCTTTTAACAATAATAGTTTAGTGTTTGTTGTTTGTAAACATAGCTTTGTCCTAAACTGATATAGTTCAAAAAGCTTGTGGCCCATTGTACCAAGATCTAGGACAGGCTGCCTTTTTATGTCGTACAAAGATTTATGGATAATTGGTGAGCCTTGTGGAATCAGTTCTAAATGGGATCACTTAGCTAAGCTTACTCGTTTGGGTGTGACTAGCAGTTCAATTTGAAATGGTTCTCGCAGGCCCCGTTGAAATGCCCTAACCGTACCCATTTTTGAATGGTTCTATTTGGTAGTTGTCCTGTGTAAATGCAGCAAAAATGTAGATATATTTTGTTCTCTAATGGCTAGTAGTTGAATTTGATAATCAAGATTTGTATTTTTTGTAAGTTGACTGTACATCAAGAATCTCAGATGTCTATTGGTAGCACACTTTTAGTTTGGATGCAGCCATTTGGTTTGTTGAATTTGGCAAGACCTTTTGTTACTTTTCTCTGTTGGTCCAGCAAAATTATTATTAAACCTGAATTTGAATACATCAAGGCTATCTACTTTTCTGAAACATTTAATTTGCAATATTTCAAGGAACCGTTTCTATAATTTTTGGTTTTTATTGTTTTCAGCTTGTTTCATTCAAGGTTTAAAAGATTAAATGATAGTGATGTAGGCTACAATCCTGGACAAGAATGTTGAGACAAAATGCAAATAAAGTATGACACATTTACCACCCAACTAGCCATCCAGAAATAGTTTTCGGCATATTTGGACAAAATTTGATTTTCCATAATTTTTTGTGTAAAAGTTGTCACATATTTGAGGCCTTAAGGTAAGGTCTACAAAGGACAAAATATATTTGTCCCAGCTGAATAGAACATTGAAGACTTTGACCACATAATCTGAAAGAATGTCATAAAATAATCCTCAATAGGAAAAATCAGTTAGATTTCTAGATTTCAAGTTTGCTAAAGGATTACTGTTACTCTGGCCAGGTTCATAAAGTTAGAAACCAAGACCAAATTACAGAGGTTTGATGAGGCAAGAGCCTGTGCTCATGTGGCCATATATCAGCCAATCCGTAATACCTTTAACTGATTTTGCATACTTAGAGGTATCTCTTGATGCTCTTTCAGGTAACAGGGTTAAAAATCAAAAATTCTAAAAGTAAATGTTTGTGAGGTTATCACTTTGGTACTTTGTTGTTTGGGTTAAAAATGGTGGATGTCAGATATAAAGTTCTTTCAAATCACATAAAAACCCTTGGTCAGCCAAAGGATCTCAAAGATCTTAATAGATTCAGATGTCTGTCACATAATGATTATTTATAAAAGCAATGTGAATCTTGTATCCTTCTTGTATCCTTCTGATGCAAGGACTGGAGGCAATCACCATACCAATACACCAATTAAAATTTTACTGCCACATTTTGGAAATTATTTCAAACTTTATTGTTTAACTATCTTGAGCTCAGATTAGGATTTACAACCATACTTTTAGTCCAGACACAATTTTTTAATTTGCTTGCATCATTGATTTTTAAGGGATTTGAACTCCGAAATTGTCCCACCTGAAACTTCACTCTCAGTTGTTAATCACAGTGAAAATTCAATTTTCTGTCATCATAAAAGAAATGTTTCCTTAATACAAATTTGAAATTAAGTAAAAAGAAGTTTACACGGCTGTATAATGAAGGTGTAACTCAATCATATTGTGGAACAAGTTCCTGCGAATCAGCAATATAAAAAAGTGTTTGGCATTAGAAATAAAAAAAACTTCATGATGATGATTTAGTAAGTTTTGATTATATAAGCTACGAATCAACATCATTAATCTGTATGCCTACTGTACAGAATTCTGCACTCACACAACTTATGTATGCAAATGTGTGTATACAGTTGAAAAAGAGTTTCGATAAACACAAAAATGAATGAAAAGTTACATATTCATAAATAAAAAATTAACAACTTGATGTATGTTGTTATATATGTTCAAAACTTAATATCGATGTTTAAAGCATGCAAAAATTTACTCAAAATTTTAAAACTTGCTTAATAGATACTCACTGTAAAGTGGATGAAAATTTCTCCTCACTGCTGATAGGGGCTACTGCAGGACACAAGGTTTTGCAGAAAATGCTCTGATGACATGACCACATTGTCATTCAACATTGACAGACGGAATGGCACAAATTTCCCAAGCTGTAGCATTATGTCGCTATATATATTGGAAATGTTGTCACAAAATTTCCCAAATATGCAAGATGTTAAGGAAATATCATGTGACAAAATTAGGAGAAACACTTCAAAATTTTAAACTTTGTTTTCCAGCTAACTCCTTCCTTAATCAACACCTTGTGATGTGCAAAATCCGAGCATATATGGAGCTTACAAATACCAGTTTCAGGACCATTTTTAACAAGATGTTTGCTCCAGCAGAGCATAAATGTCACACCCTACAAGCCAGCGATGTGTCAATAATTTCAGTCTGTTTGCTAAAAAGGTTCAGTGTAACACTGCTTAAAAATGCTGGAATGGATTGTCCACGTGACAGGTAATCCTTCATCACTTCTTTCCATTGGAGTGAAAATTCGGTCTCAATCATTTCCATTTGGTGCTCTTTTGTCATCTGAAAGGGCAAGACAAATCATTTTAACATTAACATTAAAGTTTACTAACTAATCGTGAGTTGATGGAATCACAATGCCTGGCTATCTTGAAAGTCAGCTTAAAATCAACTAATATGTCATCGAGACTGCATATCAAACCACTAGGCAGAAAAAGTTCCCTTAGTCTCTTGAAGATACACAATGACAGTGCAATTTCAGCAAGCTGACCAATCTTTCATTCAGGGTTGCCAGATTGGCCTTTTTCAGGCCAAATTTCCTGATTTTTGCCTTTTTCAGAGTGTAACAGAAAAATAACTTTGATTTCAAGAAAGGAAGACGAGACCTTGAAGAAAATCGAAGTGCAGTTTGCTGCGGCAGTTACATGCCACTGTGCTATCCAGTCCATAGACCATATTGGGGAAATTATTTTTGGTATGGCAGCCAATTGGAGAATATTAAACTTCATCGAGCCAAATGCAGCAGCCTTATATCGACAGCACTGTACAAAGAATTGTGCAAAGATATTGCGGGAAAGAAGTTGTGCATCATGATTGAAGAATCGATGAATATCTATTGCCGAAAATATCTGTGCATAGCTGTTCGCTATTACAGCAAAAAAGAGGAAAATATTAAAACAGCATTTCTAACGCTGATTCCAATCACTAGTGGAGCAGGTGAAGATATTTTCAACACGTTAAAATCCAGTCTAGAAAATATCGGCTTGAAATTAGAAGATTGCATTGGATTTGGGAGTGATGGTGCGTCATCAATGGAAGGACAGCATAATTCTGTGTGGTCGAGAGTTTGGGATGCTTCTCCAAATTGTGCTTTGATGCAGTGTATTTGCTACTCATTAGCACTGTGCAACAAACACGCATTTGAAAAGCTTCCCTCCCAGTTAGGATTCCTCTTAAGCGAAATTCCAAGATGGTTTTAAAACAGTACTCTTCAACCTGAGTTATACAAGACACTCTTTGAAACCATCAACAGAGAGGACAAAAGAGTCAGTTATATTAGTGCTTTCGAGAAGATGTCTGCAAATCGGTGGCTTGTCCACGGTAAGCTGATTTATTGCATAATGGTGAGTTGGGAAGAGCTTAAGGCATATTTTAGCAATAGAATTCTAAAGTGTGACGCCACCAGAAACCTATTTCTAGAGTTTTTGATTTTCAACCATATAACATAAAATATCACCATGAAATACTTTCAAATATGCAAAATTTGCCAAATATGTAAAAAATCGGTTGAGATATGGCCAATGAAAGATTTTAAGTTTGCTAATGAACGAATGCTCTGGAATCAAAGTTATATCTGATTGCTTTAAATCGTTTAATAATCGACCAAGCTCAACAGTGCGTTAATTTCACTTATGTGAAAATAAAGTTGAGCACCATAGGACAGTCTGCCTTCAAATTAGGTCCGCTTTAAAGTATCATGGTTTTGTTTATAAGAAAACATCAATTAAAACTCGGGTCTAAATCAGCCAACCCAAGGCTGCCAAAAATTCAAGCTGCGCTAAAACATTTTATCCTTGTGTATGCTTTTCTAACCGTATGTCCTAATAACGATGAATATAATCCACCACACGTCGACAACAACGATAGTTTCTGTCTCAACTTTCTGTATAACAGACCTTGTAGCACTAGCTATGTTCGTTGACCATCTTGTAAACGGTCTTGGGTCCACAAGCACTTTGACTCTCCGCAAACAAGACAGAATTAACAACAAAATGAAACTGACTATTTCAAACAATCGTGTAAAGTCAAGATACCTGAAAAATAAAGTAGTCGTTCTCTTGTTCTGCGTACATTGAGCGAAGTTTAAACCGTTTTGTTCCAATCATGTCATTTTTGTAACCAAACAGCTGATAACAGCTCTCACGGAAGTCTTGAACCGAATTTGCGAACACCTAAAATGCAAAACATATCAGGTCAGGGTTGAGCTGCGTTAGACATATAACAATGTTCTTGATTAACATATACATATACATATATGATATTTGTGTCAAGACGATTCATAACTTTACTGATATTAAAAAATATCAAGAGGGGTTAGAACAAATGAGCGTGAAAATAGCAAGTTCAATTCATAAGTAAAAAGATCGCATAAGCATAAAGTACAGGGTTTGACAATCCCGACTCTACATTTCCACTAAACGCACACATGCTGCGTTGCCATACAATCCATTTCTTGGAAGCATATTCAACCCTTAAACTTTTATTTCTAGCACAATGCTTATATCATCACTCTGTTTTAAATAATTAAATGCATTTTTCTAGAATTCGCCTTAATTCTCCCTGTTTGGCATCAAGCTTTGCATGTTAACAGTACATACATTGAGCTTAAGAAATCAGAATTTGTAAATGTAACCTAAAAACACCCAGTCAATGCACATATGAAATTCTCAATCACAGAACTATCTCCGAATGAAACTTATCTTCTTGAATCGACATAAAAAAGCTGAACTCTTAAAAAGAACAAGAAATTCAGCAGAACCATATCATTTGTTTATGTTGACCATCAATTTAGCAACCTGTTTACAAGACCCAGTGATTTGTAATTTCCTTTTTTCTATGCATTTTTTGTCGTAGAAAATACCTAATCTTTCCTGAACACGGATCACTGTCCTGTGGACACCGGAACCACTGTCAATATAAAGCAATGCAGATTCATGTCCCAGGATCATTTGCAAATAAATCTGAGTTTACAACAGCAACTTTCATAAAATATACGGAGAGCTTTGCATCAAGTCAAATCGGTCGATGACTGAAACATGTAGACGAAATCTGAGTAACGCGTAAGTCAAAGAGTCGAGTATTAATATAAGCAAAATGAAAAAACCGGATGAGAACTTTGGTACAGAATAAGTGGTTTTTACTAAAGTGGCTATAAGTTAGGGGTATTAATCTATGCTTCAATTTGATTTAATTTTAGTATGCTGCAGCAAACATTCGTTTAGAGTGCATCTTTTCACAATCTTTTAAATCAGAAGCATTTGCATAGCAAGAATACAATATTAGAATGATAAGCACAACATACACACCTCTTTTAGTCGCTGGTTCTGCAAGTTTGCGCTTTTGAGTTCTGTTTTCAGCTCTAGATGTATGAAAATGGAAATGTCTTACATTGAGTTAAAACAATAATCGTCAATAACAAATTAGCCAGCTCATGGCTCGTAGTCAACAAAGAAATCACTTGGGCGAAGGTGAAGAATCCGGTTCAGATCATTCAATTAACCTCGTGTCATACACGGCAAGGAGTTCTTTGACTGCATCAACGAATCACAGCTCGTCTAGGGTCAGGGAACGCTCTCCTAAAAATATGACATCTAGCAAAACATGATACCTCTCCGGATTCTTCATGTCCGCCAATCACTTGCTTAATAAGATGTAATGTCTTTTGATTCCTCTCACCTTGTATGGCTTTTTCATCAGAGCCATGCGCATTACCTAACTGCGCAGGCTGAGTTACCGTGCCTTGCTCTAATACTTTGATTCTCCTGCGCAGTTCTTCGTTCTCGTCTCTGAGGTTTTCCAACTCTTGGCCATGAAGCTTAAGAGAGAGGGCGACGGGGTTTCCAGCAAAATGAACGACTTTGGTTTTCGTCGGATCGAAATCACCCTACAGCAAAACAAATTGAAGCAGTGGAGAGGAATTTGTATATTTCGATCAGAATTTTTAGGTCATTCATTACAATAAGTATGATAACTTCGAGAAAAGAAATTTTGGGAACAGCTATCGTACCTTAATTTTACCATAGAACTAACATTTAATTGCCAGATGTACCTTGAAATATCGTAAAAAATCACAGTCTTTTTCATTCAAATGAACTTGCTTCAGTGAAAAATTTTTTTTCAAAGCAAAGTCTAGTAACAAAATAACAAATTATTTATATTTCATCACATTTTTTAGCATGAGCCAGTTAATGTAAACAAAGAAATTACTGCAAACCCAAACAGACAAACAAAACATACCTGTAAATGTCTTTTCTCGATTCTTAGTTCTAGAATATCAACTTTTTCACGCAAACTTTCATTTTCCTTTTTCAGCGCCGCAATCTGATTTCTGCCGAAGAAGCATCAATAAATAATAACCGATATTTGAAACAAACAAAAAATGCACAACTATGAAGGTTCTGACGGTAAAGCCAAATATTGGGATAATTACTGTAAAAATCACACGGCTTGAAAAGATTGTTCGTACAATGAATGTATAAAATGGGTGAGAAATTCTGTGTCAGATGAAACATTGAATCACAGAGTTTGGCATAAAATGGAAAACACAGTATTCAGAAGGAATTTTGAGCTTAGGTCGAGTTTTTTTTTGGTTGAAAGTTCCCAGAGCCATAATTATTCCTTGCTGTAACAACTCACAGTATAATTATTTTTAAACATGATTGATGCATTATAAATTAGCTCTGTCAAATCTGAAAACTTTCTGGGAAGATCCCATGTTCTGATAGTTTTTGTAGCTCTTTGCATCGAATATCACGTTAGCATAACAACAAACTGATTAAAGAGTGCTTGGTGAAACGAGCTAATGCCATAACTTGGCACAAACTCATATCTGTCGATACCAAAACTGCTTTTGACTATGATTGGACGTATGGTCAGTGCGAAAATGCCTCAATCAACAATGCATTGCAATGGGAGAACAAGATAAGTTAAAAAGACAACTAAAATGTATCTTGCCTACTAACTCATACTACGAGGATATGTAGCTGAAACAGAAAAGGACAAAGGGAGCTTGACAAGGCAGGATGCTTGGTAATAGAAAAAAGGAACGAGAAGATTAGTTCGAAAAGTTTGGATTGATACTTATAAGTTTAGAGCAAGACCAGGATTCAATAGAGTAAGGCAAAACTTACTTTAAAGCGTTGACATCGGAATAATCTTTGTCTGCAGCAACTGAGCGACTTTTCAAGTCACTGACTTCTGCTTGAAGCTAAAAAAGAATCTTTACTCAGAAGGATTCAAAGTCTGAAGAGCAAAGAAGCGGAGCAAGGGATTAGCCTGCCATTGTTTTTTTCGTCTGTCAATTATTTTTTGAATAAAATGAATCCTCCATTTACAGATACCACTCTAGAACGGACATCTTCAAAAAACGATCAAATACATTGTCCCACAATTCTATTCCTACTGTTGAAGACTTGCAGAAAAAAACCTCCAAACAACGGACACCTATCCGCAACGGCCAATAACTCTGAACCCTCAAGTTTATTTTAATGTAAAAAGGTAGATGTGCGTTACAGGAGGGGAGGCTGTGTCTTGTATTGTTAGCTGAAAATGTCTTGTATTGACCTTTTAACATCGACCATATCTGTTCGTTGACTTCGGGGTACATTCCATTTTAGATGATCCTTGTCAACATCATATAAACTTCTATGATTGCTATGCCATCAGGTTATAAAATGAAAGTTTTGGTATAAAACCAGGCAAACACGAAAGCGATACTTGACTCCATAAATATGATAGATTAGGAACTGATGTTTAATAATTCCAATATCATAGTTATCGTATTCAATTAAAAAAATTGTCTCTCTTCGCTGAAAATTTTTGAAACTTTTTAATTGTATTCCCTTTGCTAACCAATTTGTGGCTCGCATATCTCAACCGCAGCGAAGTCCCTTACTCTGGTCTAATGATCGGTAAAATGGTAAGTTCAGGAAAACCCCAAAGATCGGGGAAACCCCACAGCACTGCCTTTAAAATAACCATCATATGAATAGAAGCATGTGATTGGCTAAATGGCCAAATGCAAACAATCCGATTGGGTAAGCAAAAATTATTAGTTGCTAGGTGTAGAGACGTATCATATTTGAACCAATTAAAGCATGGCTTTGAATCGCGTACTTCGTTTCCCACGATATTTCACGATAAAGATAGCACAGATATTTGAATAAAGATATTATTGAATAACTTTTGAATGAAGATAAACTTGTCACCGATGACCATCATCTGCAATGGGAAAACGATAAGGCAAAAATTCATCAAACATCTGCCAAGTGGAATAATAAAAAACGTTAGCCTTCAAAATTAACATATCACTACTTACTTTGACAAGGAGTAGACGATCTGACTTCATCTCTTTTTTCAACTCATCACTCTCAGTCTGGAAGTAATGAAACAATAAAACCTTCTAATTAATTCTACAGACAACCTTTCCACTTACTTATCTTATCGTATTTTATCTTATCTTATCTTATCTTTTCTTATCTTATCTCATCTTCTCTTAAAGTTCCTTAAAATGTCAAGACGTTCTTTATTTTGCAATAATTTTTATTATTGGTAACTGGAAGTTCCTCTCAACCGGTTTCACTTCTCATAAAATACATGGACAAATATCCTGGAAAACAGAAAAATAACTGACTTCAAATTATAAAACCCTCCTTACAGAGTTAACGTAAAACAAAAAAATATAGTACAGTTTATTCTATACAGCTAGTTGGGAAGTTCAAGGTTTTACATGAAGATATGGAAAATAAATTGAAATAGGCAATACCTCCATTGTATTAATCAGTTCATTAGCTGCAGTCAAGCGGTCTTCTGCCTAAGATTCAAGAAATTAAAATTAATACTCGACAGAATGGTTCAGAATTTTCGATTAACAAGGAAAAAATTTGCCTTTCGCGATTAAAAATCATCAAGTACTTAATCGTATCTTTGGTGAGAAAAGCCATTCTATTCATGTGATTGGCCTGTTTCTCCTTAACAAACCATTCCACCTTGACAAACTCAAAATAAAATGTTAACAGTGCTTCAATATCAAACATTCATGAACATCGAATACAAACATATCTTACACTGCAGAACAGAAATCAAATCAGAAAGATAAAAGATGCTGATTAAAATTCAAAAAGACAACATTTGCATTATCTAACATCAAGATATCGTATATATAATTTTCAAAAGATTCATTTAATGTACTGAAATAATGTACTGAAATTCATAGTGAACATTGTCGTGAACGCGGTCCACCGTGAGCCACAATGGGTCTTTGGGCAGCTTTGGCAAGTTAAAACGAAATGAAGCAGGCATAAAAACAAGTACTTAAAATAAAAGACCGAGCTACAGTGGACTCTGTCACACTCAACAAATACCCCCAAACAGACAGTTGCAAGGCTCATTAATAATATTTTGTGCCTGCGAGTGCAAAGCCGAGTAAAAATGTGCCTGCATGTAAAAAAGGATGCGATTTATAGTCAGATATTGATAAATGGAGAACCTCTCTGCTACGCTCAGCACTGTTACACCAACTTACGTTTGTCAAAAGCAGATACCATATCAATATCATCACGAGCTACATGTAAAACTGAACAAATGGCATAATAAAAGCTACTAGCGTTATATTGTGTAAATAAAGAAGGAAATGATTCAGTTTCTATCTACAGGTTGTTTTGGGTTGTCAAGTAGCCCTATCGGTGTTATCAATCTCATCAAATAAAGACATCAAATAAAGACAAATAAAGACATCTTCAGTACAAACGTCTTTCGATATCTTAAACGCTTTACTTTAAATGTAACAGTTTTGTTTAAAACATCTTCTTTCAAGGTTTGTGAACTTTAGGATTTTGCTTTCGCTTTGTTGGCAAAGTTTGCAAGAATTTCGTCATTTTCTCATTTCGAAGATATGAAAAATAGCCATGAAAGATTCTATTCCCAATTACTTCGTTGAAATATCTTATTATAAATAGTATTTTACAAAAGATACTCCGTTTTTTAGCTTTGAGTTTATCATGCTTGTAAGATTTGATTATTTTAATATCAAAATGCTTTCACTCCAAAAATTGAAGAAGTAGAGGCTTGTTTGTGTTGTCACAAATTGTCGAAAATGTTTGTTTTTGATGAATTATTTGGAGGTATACAATGAAAATTTGCTCAACTAAATCAGAAATCGATAGCTCTCAGATTCAAAACCTTAAAAACTCTAACTCAAAGGAAGTGTGCTTTCTTCACCCTATTATCCACGAATAAGTTTTATAAGTCATAACATAATACCTGAGAAAAATCGATACAATAATTGCGAGTGATCTCTTTCACCAAGATATAATAGAGGGAAAGAGACAAACAGACAACTTGATTTTGAGAGTCAAATGGCGCCTTTAGAGTAAGGACCTTCTGTCATTTTAGTAATAAAGACTTGCAACTACTACTTTATTCTATATTACTGTTCAAGTTCAGTACCAAGAAAGATGTTTAAAGAAAGCATGACTGTAATACAATAAAGGTAAATTAAAATCGATTCAGAAATGTGCCTGCATAAATTCCTTAGAATGAACTTTTGTGCCTGCGAATGCCGCTCGCGCACTTGCGCAGATAAATGGGGCCTAGACAGTTGTGCCTCAAGTACCTCTATTTGCTCCACGATGTTACAAGATGGTAGTTATTCCCCGATACTGAACTATTTACCTCACAATTGCATGCTAAAGTCCTTTCTATCATATTTTGTTGCCATTGAACCATTACTATGAAGTACACAGAAGCAGTTCCTTGGATATAATAACCAGCTAGAAAAAGATGTCTTGTCTCCAACGAAGCGCCTCCTCTCCGATACAAGTTACTAGATGCTCATGGCATTCTATCTTAAAGAGGTGCTGCATTGTATTCTCCTTTATAGGAACCAGATACTATTTGCCGAGGCACGATGTTCATATTTCCTATATAATATGAGTCCCAGGTATTCTTAATACTTTCCTTATTTTTACATTGCCATTCTAAAACATCAAGTTGCTATAAATTGCTTCTAAGACCAGTAAATAACAGTTTTGCATGAGATTTTTAGTAGATGAAAAACTCTGTTTACAAGAGAGAAAATACGCATTGTTTACAAAAAAGAAAATTTTCTAAAGCATTTTTTCTTTTTCTGATTTTTCATCTGTTTTAATTTTTCGCGTAAATCGAGCCTTGGTGTCCTTATTAAGTGTGTTCTTGCAAAAAAAGAGTGTATTCCACAAAATAGCCTCTTGCTTTCGACTCCATTCTGTCACGAATCGGCTGACAGTTATTGTGCCTGAGCAAATATTTCGTAACAGAACTGTTTTAGACTTTTATCACTTTAAGCTATATCTGTTTATAAGCTTTTCGTTTCACAGAATTTTAATTAGCTCATTCAATGAAACAGCTTCGGGGAAAAAATCCCATCCCAGCTGAAATACTTTGCAGTCTCAACACCACATTCAGCAAGAAATCACCTTCTGATCTGAGATCTTTCAAAACTTCTCTGAAATCACTAACAACTTCTTAGATATTCATGCGTGAGCTTTAAAAGGCAAGAATCCCTGCTAACATTATCACGACCCTGACTTCTCCACAAACCAGCAATTATGCTACTTTTTCAAACCATACACTTAACATTCACAGTTCTGCTCCAAATCCAAATGTTTCACAAGTATTAAATAATGTGCAATTTGATGCAAATTTTTTTGCTTTTACCTCTTGCACTCTAGCTTGTAGTTGCTGCGAATGATTTGGCGATATCTCTGTGTCATAATTGTTCAGAATTCTTCTGATACCATCCCGATCCTGAAAATTAATAAATACTTTTTAATTCACAAATTTAGTCAGAAAGACTGCATTTTTTATAAAAACAGGCGAAAAGGAAGTGAGTTATATACAAGCAAGGAGTTTGCTTACACGTATATGCTTAAAAGCACTTTGCAGCTAGGCTGAGAGCGCACAAATTTTTAACTGCGTTTGAAGTAGCAAATATTGCAAAAGTCAATATCTATTCACATTTTCAGTAGCTTGGAACGTTAATAATAGCTTGAAATTTGAGAAATATGAATGACGTAGAAAGATAGAACTGAGAAAAAAAACTGACCGCCGTCACCAGCAAAAGTCTTCTTTGAAGTCGTTGGCATTTCTCACTTTCTTGTCTTTCCTTCTCCTTTTGAGAAAATAGAAATTTTCTACATAGATATCTTGTCTCTACACCGCGAATACTGACATTTCCAGGCAACACTACCCATATTACGTAGCGAGTATACAAACAAAATACAAGTTGAGAAAATCTTGATGTCTTGACAAAAAAGCTGGTTTTAGTACCAGGCCCATGTTTATCTCCTTTTAATAAACAGCTCTCAAATGCATTGAAAACATACATAACCAAGACTTTGCCTTCAACAGACGAGCTTCTGCAGAAGCATAAACTTGGACACATACCTGTAATTCCAGAAACTGATCTTTCAAATCACTATACTTCTGGGTTACATTCTGGAGGGCGTTATCTTTGATCGCAACACTAGAAGAACAAAAAGAATCTACATAAACATACATGATTGGTACTAAAACTAATAAAATACGTAAGGACAGTCATTCTTTGTCGCAACCACGAGTTTCGTTCATATTTGGATCGACATGTCAGCCTCAAGATTAATGAAAAACCTTCGCCATCTCTTGTTTACGTACGCGATTTCAAATAAGAAATTCTAATTATTATTTTGAGAGATTCTTTATAAACATTTTATACCTGGCAACCTAATTGATTTCACAAATCGTTAGTCTATAGTGTAATCGTATTTCTTCTCTCTTTTTAGCTCAATATCACATGGTTTAGGAACTCACTACCAACGTTATCATAAGCACAATACGCCCATAAAAATTACGTCACAACAGCTCTACTATACACACAATACCGCATGAATCTTCATACTTATGTTATCATATGCACCTATTACAATTGTTCAATTCAATCCTTGACAATGACCAAATTTGTGTACACAACGTTGAGATGCATTATCAAAAACAGTCAAATGTGGTTCATATTCTAAAAATGGATCGTTGTGAGTTCGTCACTACGTCACCATAGGTGATTTCAAGAATCACCAGACTAAAAAGTGGACTGCTTTTGCCCTTGGCAAAAGAACAGTGGTACTTTCTGTCTACTCGAGTACTAGCCATGTGTATGCAACCCTTGAAAATGGAGCCAAGACTCTTTCTGATGCACTTTCTTAATATTTTCTTTATAAAGGTATTCGTAAAACTATAATGAGAAAACCAGGTACCTTGCTTGCAGATCGCCTTGCTTCTCCATCATCGACAGTTGGCTTTTCTGTAAATCTGATATCATCCTCGTTAGTTCTAACGGTGACCTAATGATACGAATATTTTAGGTTAAATCGTTTGAAAACCTATGTGAAATGTGACTAATGAGATAAAGATTGAAAGCGTGACGCCTTAGTACAGAAGAATGTTTAATTCACTTTGTATTTGATACTTAATGAAGTACTACATTTAAACCAAAGTAGTTTTTGGCATTACTTGATATTTGAACAGACAATCCAGTGAAAAAGAAAACAATAAAATAAAAAATATGAAATTCTAACTAGATGACTTCATAAAGATTATCGTGCCGATTTGAAGAGAGTTCATTATGTTCACCCTCACTTGCTGTGAAAAAATGACAAATTCAGTTTAAGATATAATTATCCCCGTGGAGTTTTGACATCTTAAAAGAAGAGATGTAACACAAATATTCATGCATACATTGCTTTCTTTGCTCCACTTGGATCTTCAATTTCCCATCTTTTAATTTTCTTTTTAAGCTCCTGTTAATTAAAGAAAGATATAGATACAAATAAAAAATATATTTGAAAATGGCTTTGAAAAAAGCAAACATTTTACAACATATGAGCCAAATGCTTTTAGCCAATATGCTGTAAAATGCTTGCTTTTTCAAAGCCATTTTCAAGTTCTGTACTGCGAAAAAACTGTTCAAATATATATTTACTTTTAAACACTTCAAAATATGAACTTAGTCAGTGTTGATAAATTAAGTGAAAATAGCTTTAAAGAACTCAGTAATTCTCACCCTTTGTCTCTGTTCTACGACAGTCAACAGACTATTCTGGAAATTACTAACAATAGTTGGTAGCTAAAAAATTCTTTCCTTTTGACAATGCCATGACAATCTCATTTGAAGTACGAAAGCACCTCAACTGAGACAATAAGGAGAATGAGGATATTTATGATAGACTAAAATCCCGGACAAAAATGGTTGAGACTTATCAAGGAAAGCTTATATTTTCACTTTACTTTCAAAAATAACATTTCCCCCTCCTCCAATTCAATGTTGAATGCATTATTTTGAAGGAGAAATGATAGAACTACAAATTCAACATTGATTCGGGGGGGGGGATTCAAATTTAAAGGGCTGACTTGCAGAAATTGCATTTTGTCTCAACATTGTCCGGGATTGTAAAGGTACGCATAAAGAAGTAAGAATTATATGAAACGTCATTAAAACCTACCTCATTCTCGACTTCTATAACTGACAAACTATTTATTTTTTCTACTGCAGCATCATATTTGCCTTTCATTGCATCATATTTTTCTTGAAGAAGTACAGCATTGTCTCTAGTGTCCCTAAAGAAATAAAGACACTTATGGATTTGTTGACTTGCCTGTGGCGTAATGAATAGGAGACATCAAGAACAGGGCAGGGATGGGGGAGACACGTCACCTGAGATCTCGATAGGGTCAGTTTGTCATTTGTCTAAATTAGACGAGAAAATGTTGGGGGGGGGGGTAACCAAAAGGTAGTCATGGGCATTTGCTAAGTGTAAAATTGGCGTCCCTTGTTGTTAAAGGGGCGTTTTCTGACAGTAAAAAGGGCGTGGCCTTGAAATTTTTTTTACTTTGTCTGATTAGCTGCACAATTTTCAACAAAAGATTTTTTAAACCCCTGCTTTGAATGCAAACACCCATTTAAAGCTTGTGAGAAAAAAAACTGAGAATGGCTGTATATCAAGACTATCCTTAGATAAATGATTGCTAGGTGAAGTAATGGCTATACACTTTGGTTGGGTTAACTAAATCAGGAAGCATCTTACTTGAGAAGCTTGTTTTCTTCTTTGTATTTATCATTTTGTCTGCGCAACTCATTAAGTTTAACTAGCTGATTTTGCATTGTCTTTGCCACAACAAATGCTTCCTCATGTTGTAAAATCTTTTCCTCTGCTGACTAAATAAAATAATCATAAAAATTCACTACTGACTTGATTACAAGTGATAGCTAGAATAACAGACAAAGCACAGAGTGTTACAGTTTAATATTTCAAATTACATATAACTTTTGGATAATAACTGTCAGGTATAAAGCTCGTGATCAATTAATTAAATTCTCTGTTGCTTTGGTTTGGGAGCCATTCACAAGAAGAAAATGACTGCTGCATATTTACAAGTATTCAGCAACAGAGAACAAGTCTCCTTCCTTCAATGTTACCAATAGTTATCCTGGAGAAAGATTCATGTCCACAGATATTGTAGGAAAAAGCAGAATTTAATACAATCTTTTCTAAGAATCTTAGATTAAGTATCTCAAAACCACATAAAAATGTCCTTAAATCAATAGCTAGAAAAATAAGTCAATGTTGGTATCTTAAGGCAGCAGTTTTTCAAGGATTATTTATTATTTTTGCGCCTAAAACATCCCACAGAAAAAATGCTATTGAAGCCAAGAACATACCCACCTCACCCACTAGAAACTCCAATGAAACTTCCAGGCAGATGATACAAGAACAATTCCCTAAAAGTGCAAGAAATGGTGGTTTTTTGACTTTCTAAAATGGACCTACAATACTTATTAGCATACCTTCCATTTGTGCTCTGCATGCCTCACTCTATCTGATAGTTTCTCATTTTCTTTCATAACATCTGCATGCCTTGATAATTTGCTGCAAAAATTTTGACAAAAACGGGTTTGTATGGTACAATATATATGTTTAGAGAATACTTTGCAAATTTGAATGAAAATAATAAAACAACCTTAGTCTTACTATTCTTCTCACAAGCAAATTTGTTTATCTTCAATGACAAAAATACACAACTGCAAGTTGACACAAGACAAAAATTTACAAAGTTGAGTGACAGAAAGGCTGTGAGACAGACCACATGTTTTAGTTGGCAGTTTTAGATCGCAACACAGCAAGGCAATAGGCAAAAATTTGTTTATCTAGGTGTTCAAGCCTTTTAATAAAAAATAGGCTGAGTTTTATTATAAAAAGAAAATAAAGATTACTAAAAATTCAATTAAATCTTATAAACTTGTGTTTTTGAAAAGGAAAAAGAAAGGGACTTTGTTTGCTAGCATAGCAAACTTATCGGCAAACCCTGCATGTAAACATTTGAAGAATTTCCATGAAAATAACAAAATGAGAGTTTAAACTTACCTTTGAAGAAGCTCTAACTGAGCTTTGAAATCCTCCATTTTGTTTTTATAGTAGATGACTTCATTTCTAGCAATACAAATAAAGTAAAATTTAAACCTTTTTAATAACAGGCAAATGTTAAAACTTAATCAAATTTTCAAACTTAGTTTACGACTGAGTTTGTAGAAATTCTTGAAAAACATGTAAAATGAGGATCTTGATTTTTACTTCAAACTTTCATATGAGAATGAAACTTCAAATCAAAAGAACAAATTTTTGTTCCTTTTGATCTAAAATAAAAGCAAAACTAACTCTAGATAACAAATAATCTTTTTCATAACTTGATCCTCATCCTTTCATACCAGCAATTAAGTTAAAGTTTTGATAGAAAACAATTCTTTGCCGATTTATCAAACTTTGAAACACTTACTCATTTGTTCGGTCAAGAAGGGCATTAACCTCTCTTCTGTGATATTCCTTGAACTAATCAAGACAAAAGAATGAGACAGCAATTCATAAAACAGTAAAGATAATTTGAACTAGATGTTTGGAATACTTTGAAAATCTATTCTTTGATTTTCAATAGATTTCATTTCAAGATTGCACATAATGCATTAAACTAGAGTACAATTTGCTTAAAATCCCTCACATCAGGCAATGAGAAACAGAAAATACTACTCAGATGAAAATAAAAAATAAAGGGTAAGAAACTGATTTTTAATTTATGGATTTGATTGGTTTTTGGTTTTTGCAAGCTTGCCACCAGTACTCCTTGCAAGCTTATAAGTCAAAGTAAAAAAATTAATTGTCTTTTATCAAACTGATATAACAAAAACAAAATAAATAAATACAACCTTTTTTAAATTCTGCACTTGAATAGGATGTTTATGGGGTATTCAATTATACTACAGATTATAATTTTGAAACAGACTGTTGTCACACTGTCATCTGATGGTCAAGCAAGCACTTATAGCCAAAGATCTACCCCCCTGCCATTCAAAATGGGTGCATATGTACTTTGATAGCAGAGATATCAACATTGAAGTGGGGGGGGAGGGGGGGAGGGTGCGAAATCCCAAGACTGTCAAAAGCTTAAGTTGCAGCTAGGTATCTCTAGCACATTACTGAGAAATTTTATTGAGAATTTTAATTTTCATTTCCCAATAATATCAATAAAACCTAGCTACTAAATTTAAAAGAATTTTCACAAATTTAAATTGTTGAAACCAATCACATCTCTATTATGGTTTTCTATCATTAAATAGTTTTACCTCTTCAATTTCCTTTTTATATTTCATGTTTTCTTTCCTCACTTCATCAACATCTTTGTTGTATTTGTCATTTAATGCTTCAATCTTCTTCTTCAAATTTGTTACTTCTTCCCTGGCATTTTTTTCCTTCTCCAAGACATAATCAATTTCTTTATGCAGGTCATGGTAGTTTTCTTCAACCTTCATGACTTTTCTCTGTTTTTCAAGTATTTCTCTCTCATACTCAATTCTTGCCCGTTTTCTATCTGTTTCAAATGTTTTCAGCTGCTTCTCAAGATTAATAACCTTTGCTTTTGCAGTCAAAAGCTCAACTTCTTTGTCTTTACTTATTTCCCTTTCTCTTGGTGGTTTATCGCTACTTTCATCAAGATCAAACTTCAATGAGTCCAACACTGAGACTCTTCCTAAGTTGCTCCTAAGATAGAAAAAATAAGAAAACATCTTCCTTTGTTCAAAAATTTGATTACTCAAGAGTCTGCTCTAATATGAGTATGATAATGGGGCTCAGACCCAATATAATTTTTTGGACAAAAAATATCAGCCAAATCGAACAAAAAAAATTAGTCTTGCTTTTGAGGAAAGACAAAAAGTTGTATACCTGAAGCATTGTTTTCTAAAATCTGGTCTTAAACTGAATATTTGAAATAGCTTGATAAAACGCCCAAAAAATAAATTGTAGCTAAATTTCAAATTTTCAAAGATAAAAATCTACAGCTCAGAAAAATAGGAAAGATTTTCAAGATAGTAATGGAAATTGAGTCCTCTTGACAATCTTTCAAACACAGTCCCTTGGTTTGACTTTATCTTAATTCATGAAACAAAGATGATGGATTAAATGTCTATGTACACATATTTATTCCAAAACCCTAAGATGAAAATATCACTGTACTTACTTCACAATGGTTTTAAAATTGTTGTAGCTTTATTATTTGGCTTAAAAATTGATTAGCAATTCTTCCTCTGACATTACTTTGGATATAACCCATCTGGATATAAATTTGTGCTTAAATTTAGTCATTATCAAATGTTTATAATCTTTGGAGTGTTGTAAAAAAAGGATACTTAAGTATGCTATGTTTTTCCTTTTCTGTGCCATATTTGAACTTAGCTGCACCAAAGCATTATTTAATTCCATTTGTAAAACAGAGCCAGGTTGGAAAACATGCACTAGGTTTTCGGCTATGCATGGCTACCAGCAAGGGTTTTAGTGACTGTGAGCCTGGGACAGACTGTGGGCCTGGGACAGACTGTGGGCCTGGGACAGACTGTGGGCCTGGGGCAGACTGTGGGCCTGGGACAGACTGTGGGCCTGGGACAGACTGTGGGCCTGGGACAGACTGTGGGGCTGGGACAGACTGTGGGGCTGGAACAGACTGTAGGCCTGGGACTTGCATGCATGTCTCCTTGTGGCTATCATAAGCATAGGGGCTTGTAGATCCCCCTAAAACTGCAAGTGACAGCTGCAAGGAACAGCACACTATCAGCTGTGACCAGGGAATGTAGGCATCTGAGCTGCCAGCAATTGCACTCCTATATTCATGACTATATATATGGCTTAATTGGTACTGTGCAGGTGCAAGGAATCAAGCATAGCTGTGAGAGTATGCAAGTTTTCGGGCCCCTGGTACCAGAGAAGATAGCTAACGTCCAGGCCAAAGTCAGTGTTCTGCTTATTAGGTTATGACCAAGGTGCTAAAATTACTATTTGATAGTATGAAATATGAAAATTTTTGTTTCAAATGCACAATTCTTAATGGACTTCAGCTGAACCCTAATAAGTATTAATGGTCAACTTCCAATTAACTCAGACAATAATAATCAATATACACTCCCCTCCCAAAAGTATTCAAACGGAAGCATGTTGCGACGGTGTCAGGTCAAGTTGATGAAAACAAAAAATAAAAGTTAATTGCTTATATTTATAGAATGACAATAGGAATCACTTCAAAATTTCAGGCAATCATATAACAAAGTTTAAATTACACAATTTTTTAATTTGAAGTCCATAATTCATTTTATCAATGAAATAACTTCAATATTTGGTGGGGATATTCATGAGACAAATTACCTCCGCAAATGGCCAGGAAATTACTTCTGCAAATTTTCAATGAAATGGAGAGAAATAATGTTACAAATGTCAAAGTTTTTACCAGTTAACTGCTGCTTGATTTTCGGAGGATCTCTTTTCGTTGAATATTTTATAAAAAAAACCAGAGAAGCTATAGCATTTTCAATTACTTTGGGGTCTGGACTTTGAGAAGGCCCTGGAAGAGTGAGGATTCAGCTGGCAGCAGAAAAATCGTTTGTATCCTTGTGTGACATGGAGAGTTGTCTCAATGAAAGAAAAAAGGCTAATTTATATAATTATAAATTTTTCTGGCACTTTTGGGGGTTTTTTCGGAAGATGGCAACATACTATGCAGCGTTAAACAAACACTCCCGAAGAAAGAGATGGCGATGCCATTAGGCCTAACGCAATCCAGAACTTTTGATTATTTCCTTTTCCAGTTGTTTTTTCGGATTGAGAAGGCTTCAGAGTCATTTTTGAACTAAATCTACACTCGCTCAAGAAGAAATTATCGCCCCGGTCAGCAACACGTCGTTCCTTCATAACTTTAACTCTGTTTTGCCAGGGAGTGCAAATATTTGCTGAAAAATCAAGCTTTCTTCTTAAGGCACAATTTATAGTTCCGTATTTCGATAGAGTATGCCTAACTTAGTTTTTGAGCCGATTTTTGTCTCAAAACTTCAAAGTTACTCGCTATTTTTACTCCTTCAAAATTGAGAAACAAGTTTCTTCGCAAACCCTGCTACAATTCTTTGTTCCTATTAGAAAACTTTTTGTCCTGCATGTTCTCAATTTTTTCTCCAGAAAACTGCTTTTTTACATATATTGCAAATTCTTTGGATAGTAGACTTCGTGTAGCCCACTTGCTGTGCAATTTCATCATATTCAATGACCTGCCTGGCGTGAAAACTTTATGACCATTTGCTTAGCTTCATCCATATTTTGTGTTTTTATGAGTGCACAAAGATAACCATTTTTCCACTAACATGGCATTAGGCCCAAAATTTTGTCCGACCGTTTGAATACTTTTGGGAGAGGAGTGTATGTAACAAATTTTGATGTCGTAATGATGTAATGGTTATGATTGTTTGTTGTCTCTGTCGATGATGCCATAAAATTACCTTGTTGATAACTGAGATCTTCTTGTCTTTCCACTCTTCGTGAACTCATCAAAATCTTTCATTATTCGAATAACGGACGTGGGCTCCTCTGGGTTTGATGGTAGCTCCATTGTAATAATTACTTAGGGAGTTTATTCTTCACCAGTGTAGTGTGGAGTCCATAACCGTTTCGCCGCGCGCAAGTTGTAGTACTTTATGTAAATACTCACTGCTCCAATATTTTTGTTGCTGTTGCTGTTGTTGTTGTCAGCGTGAAAACAAGGCTAAAAACAGTTTACTGTTGTTTAGTTAGAGCAGCGATTCTCAAATTCAACATACCTACATCAGAAGCCGTTCTCAAATAAATCCTTACAAGTCCGTAATTAATCCTTTATTGGTGGAATCTCTCTCGGGTAACCCTACATTGCTTTTCAAACACAATTGGGCATTTAGCAAAAAATGTCCCTAGAATTCTTAAAAATTGGAATAGGGGGTTGAAGGCCCCCACTTTGCACTAAATAAGAATTTTTCATCAATTTTTCTGTTACTTTTTAAAAGTGTATGAAATAAAAAGAGAATAAAATGTTAAGATGCCGATTTTGTTTGATCTAATTACTAACTTATTCACGTATAATTCTATTATTTTTCTTTGATTTGCATTAATTCAGTAAATCATTGCAATGTTTTCATTTTGGATGCGTAAACATGGCCTTCTCGAGACAGGAAACTGCACATTTCTGTTCAGAACATAAATTTTCTCTTTCAAAACAACATCTTCCTCTGTCATTCACAACTATGTGCAATCTGAAAAGAAAGGTTACCGTTTCTTTCCCTCCCCAACGTTATCACTAGAGTTTTGGCTTGACATCCCCTTTCCCTATTTTTCCTAATAAATAATAATCAGTCTTTTTAACAGTATAGTATTTTTGCTAAATTTGTTTGTCTTTATTGCTTAGAAGTTTGTCCTTGGTAAAGACAAATGTACACTGGTAAAGCTTTCACCAGTAACTTATAGACAAACCTTTGCTACGAGGTCTGCAAAGGACCCCTCAGTTTTGCAGGGCAGAAACCCTTTTCACCCTTAAACCTATTGACCAAGTTGCGCCCCTGATAAAGTTCACATTTGTTTCATTGCTTTGTTACCAGAGAATAAGCCATTAAGCCGTTTTCACATTCAAATTTGAAAACGAGACAGGAAATTGAAAATGAAGCTAAAAGTAATTAGCTAAATAAGTTTACTAAAAACAGTCTGTACAGCACGCCATTTTAACGAAATAAATGTAATGTATGGCTTGCAGTGTAATGAAATGAACAGATGATGATATCATTGCACGACTTCAATAATTCTGACAACACAAAGACTCTTGACACGGACAAAGTTAATCTACTAAAATTAGCTTTAAGTTATACTGAAAGAGGACAAATCATATTTCATTCTTTAAATATTACCTCAAAAATTTCTCATTCATCGTTATTATAAAGAGCAATCAATATGTTACGACTAAAATGCTAGGAAGATGGGAGCTCTCCATTAAGAAATTCCCTGCATAGAAACTTCATCAGTTTTTTCAATGTACGTTTAGCTTTCTTGTACTTGTTACATATATTTTTAAAGAGAGAATTTGAAAATTAAATGTTATTAGAACTTAAATCTATAACAAGGGCACAGCCTAATTTGGAATAGACTTTACCAAAGTCTATGTTTAAGTTTAAATTTTATTTGGAAGGTTTAATTTGGAAAGATATACAACAAAATGCATACAAATTGTGCTCTGGGGCTCTAGATTGCAAATATAACATTTGAATGTTGAGATATGATTTGCTCATGATATAAGGCAGAAATATCAGCATCCATGCATAACACAGGTATATCATGTTCTTAAAAAATGTTTTACTTGAAGAATTTGGTGAATCTAGACTAGCGAAGTTGACTTCTCGATTTGATACCCGGGAAAACGGCCTTATGTATCGACCTGGGAAAATGAGTAGTAGAGTGAAAATTGTAAAAGAATTTCTAGCAAAGGCTACCTTGACTTCGCAGCTATACAATCTTTAGTTAAGTCATGCATTTAGCCTTTTTAACTGGAAGGCATTTTCAAGTTACATTGATAATTAATCGACAGGCACCACGGAGCGTTGAGAAAAGGGGGTCTAGAAAAACTTAGAGTTAAAACTGAATAGAAAGAGGCGTCATTGGTGATTCATTGATAATCTTTTTGCATTTCTGGCAAAAAGTGGGGGGAATATATCCCCCCAGCCCTCCGCTTGATATAGAAAAATCAACCTTATGCATTCTTTCTTTGAGAGGTCTAGTAAACAAAGCAATGACTTTAGGATCGATGTTATTGCTACAAAGGCTGTACTATCGATCTTATCCGCCTAAAGGTGTCAAAAAATGCAGAACATTGTATTCACAAACATGTGTTCTTATTTGCATGGTTTGTGGATCACAAAGGCGACCAGAATAGCGTGTAACCTGCAACCTGGTCATTCTATAGTCGAACTATTATCGAAGTCATTGACTAGTGCCATTGCTCAGTGAATTTGAATAATCAGATCAATAACAGGACAATGTAGTCCGTGTTAGCCTTAGTCAGTCTTCTCATTACTTAATTATCTGTTACTTCTTAAGTGAAATCATTATAATTCAGCAACGAATAGGAAGTATACTATGTGCTTCGCATCTTTAATTCATTTCCAAGAAGATTCATTGCGTTGTTTTAAGGCTGCGTAGGCACGCAAAAGCTTTATTCCTTATTCGGTAACATTATTTATAATCCGGTGCACGCATAATTGAAAACAAAACATCATCAAAGTGTTAGAGGCCCGGAATGGACAAAGATCACAGAACGCATGGATCAAATGCGGGGCGCCCTTGTCGCGGGAATCGATCGTCTGCCGACCAGTGCCCTTATGGGAACTCAAATGACTTAAATGAATATGACCTTGAATTGAGAAGAGCTTCAGAAACAACCAGATGTTCCTGCAACTGCTTGCAGTTTGTTTCTCTGAAACAGCGTCGAAGAACTCGTGGCTTGACAAGTCGTCGGAACGTTATGTCGCTTATAGTAATTCGATGGATTGTCGTAACTGCTTTTATCGCATCTGTCGTCCTCTTAACAGCTCTTCTGTACAAACAAAAGAATGGCTTGCAAAATTTCGATACTCGTGCTGTAGGGATGGGAACGCATAGTCGTAAACCTACATTCGATAATGTTACGATAGCCGCAAGTGACGTATCATCGGATAAGATACTTGCTACAGCAGCAACAACAACATCAAGAAAAAAAACTGTTAGAATTTCGCCCAAACGAAAGAAAAAATCAAGCCTTGGTTTTCCTTTCAATCCAGAAACGTTTGACAATTCTACTGTTGGAAAGAAGAAGTACGTTATTATTTACTGGTCAAAAATACGAGGATTTAGGCCTCGGATACAAACCAAGAAAGAATACGAGCATGACCCTCATGTCTGGCCTTACACCTATGCAGGAGATAATTGCCCTGTGAATTGTGAACTTACGAATGATCGCTCGAGGGCAGCCGAAGCAAGTGCATTTGTCGTGCATTCGCGCTTAACTGATGTATGGGACTTGCCCCCCTACAAGTACCTGGCTCCTTGGATTCTCCAGAATAACGAAAACCCTGTTTATACACCGGCATTATCAAATCGACGACTTATGAGCAAATTTAATCTGTTGATAAGCTACAGGCTGGACTCGGATTTTCCAAGTCCTATTTATCCAAAACCAAGTTTAGACCCACCAATACCATTTAACAAGCGACTGGGTAACGTGTTGGCTGTGTTTTCCAAATGTGAGCCAGTTCGAACGGAGTACATGCGACAGTTGATGAAATACATCGACGTTCATTCGTATGGTGCATGTTTGAAAAATAAAAAAGGATTGATCGGGCTCTATAGTCAAATAAACGGTAAATATGTCTTTAAAGACTACAAGTTCGTGATGTCGAGATACTACAAATTCTCACTTGTTTTCATGAACCAAGACTGTGACCACTTCGTAGACGATCGTTTGTACCATGCCTTAGAGACAGGTTCAGTTCCTATTTATATGGGAACAGATCTGATTGACCAGTTTTTGCCCGGAAATCTACGGAATTCAATCATCAGAGCAAGTGACTTCTCAGGCCCTAAGGAGCTTGCGAGCTATTTACAATATTTAAGCAATAATGAAACAGCATTTAATAGATATCTTGAATGGAAATGGCAAGGATTGGGTGACTACAAGAACACAACGATTGGAAGATGGTGGGATATAAAATACCCACTTTTCTGCCAGGTTTGCATGAGGTTGTCTCAAGGAAACCTTCATTCTGGACTTGATGTTGACAGGTGCGAGCCAAGGAGGTATCAACACTGGGGGCTAGAGCCTCCTTACCCAAAAACGTACCCCCGGAAGAAGATAGAGCCAGAAATAAGCGAACAGTTCTTCATGTACTGGAAACCGCTCTTAGTGACTGGTATTGTGTTTGCATCGATCGTCCTTATTATGAACTGCTGTGTTCAGTGCATGATCCATGGTGGATATGAGGAAAAAGTACCACTATAGTACGACTTACATATGCGTATCCACTATAAAAGTCATGCTTTAGAAGGATGAATTCACTATCGGTGAAAGATATTTTAATCATCAACGCCTTCTGATCAAGGATGACTTTTAGGATTGAGAGAAGAAGGTACTCATTTGCATCCACTAGGCATGGCTTTTTCACTTTCAAAATATAAAATCTCAAGAACGCAACGTGTACGCCATGCATGATAACTCGATGAATACATACCGAGAAACTGAACTTATCAATATTTACTTATGGATGATAGCACTTTTAGAAGGGTGTAGTACTGGAAGTATGCAAATATTGGGAATTTCTGCAATGCTGCAATAGCCAAGGTCTTAACAATTTTCTGCAGGCAACGTCCATTACACCTCCAATCAGCTGCGTCACAGCTGATGGCAATCTAAGCAAAAACAGAAACATTATACATAAAATCAAACAACTGGAGCTCTGTGTAAATATTCTGAAAAACCATAAACGGTTCCCACGTTTCTATTCTTTAGCAATCTTTCAATGTATCGTCTCCTAGAAACCTTGACTGTTAAGTTTCTTCTTTCTGCGTCACAGTTAGGGGCATTGAATTCTAAACAATTGTTCGCCTGGATCTTTCTTTTTATAATTACCGACCTATAAAATCTCACAATTGTCTTTTTGCAACGATTCTTGCAACGAAAATGAGTCGTTTGTTGTAATGAGAATCCTATGGGGTATTAATGCCTTTCTTATAAAATTTCACATTTGGAAAGCCTTCATCAGCAACGTTCAAGTAGCTTCAACCAGCATGGGACGCTTGAACGTTCTTGTAAGTCTCCTTTACGTTACTATTTGCGCACTTGCAGCAAAGCGAAATGCTAGAGTTTCTAGGGTAGAGCAGAGACTAATAGATATGCTACTAACAAACATTAGCAAGTATGCAAGGCCGGTGATGCGCAACGATTTGCCAGTTGTTGTTGACTTTCAAGTGCATCTAGAGAAGCTAGGAGACTTGAATATCAAAGACCAAGTTATGGTAGGCAACTACCGGATTCTTATGAGATGGCACAATCCACATCTGGTTTGGAATAGAACGGATTACAACGGGACCGGTTACATAAACCTGCCAAGTAACCTGATCTGGACCCCTGACATCATGCTTCAGAATACAGCCTCAAAGCAAAGCCAGGCAGCTGCGGATATTTATAAAAATCAAGTCATTATCAAGAACACCGGTATTGCAATTTGGATGTGTTCAGTCGAACTAGAGGCGTCTTGCAGTATGGATGTTCGGTGGTTCCCGTTCGACACTCAAGACTGCGAACTTGAGTTTGGATCAAGATCATATACAAAAGACAAGCTGATTCTTCGCTTTTTTCGTAAAATCCCGTCTGATACGGCTATCAAGGGGAAAAAGCACTACTCAAGCGGTCATTGGACCATGATAAGAATGAGGGCAGCAATAGTTGAAGAATATTTCGAATGCTGCGATGAACCTTTCACAGTGATCAAATACAAGTTCATATGGAAGCGGCTTACAATGTATTGGCTGTTGTACCTGGTTTTTCCATGCCTTTTTCTTTCGTTCCTTGCTATTTTCACGTTTCTCATACCAGCGGATACGGGTGAACGTACGGGTTTTGGAATAACTGCCGTTCTTGCCATGAGTGTGTACCTCCTGGTTATTTCGGACAAACTTCCAGAGAAAAGTGACGAATCTCCTGTTATAGGGGTTCTCTACACAGTCCTTTTCTTTCTTACATCGGGGGCATTGCTATCAGTCATAATGACAACACACCTTGCTTTTAAGACTACTGAGCCCCCTGCTTTTTTGAGAAAGTATCTACGCTTGAAGAAAAATAAGGGGGTAAGACCAGCCTCTTGTGAGGATAAGGTGAAAGAAAAGGCAGCTTCTGACCTCGATATAAAAGATTTTGAAGATAGGAACAGTGAAGTAAGAACGATTGCAAGCGATGCCACTGCGGAGGACGTTTCAGGGTCAAACTTCCAAGAAGAATGGAAAGAAATTTCGCAAAAGGTTGACCAGTATCTTTTCAGGACATTTCTGGTGCTGACTGTCATGGCATTGCTTATTGTCCTTTTGTCATATCACACATAGATGCATAATCCAAATGACCCACAAAAGCAGTAAACAGCCTTGAGATCAGACTAAACAGAGATTGTTAGAGACGCTAGCGACTGACAAATTTGGTATAAACGAAAAAGACATATGTGTGAATAGATGGGTAAAAGGGCAATTAAAGCATGAATCAAATTCTCGTAGTTGAACGTAGATGCAAGTCAGAAGTGTCTTTGACACGTTGTTAAAGAGGGTCACGATAGGTTAAGCGGTGTGGCATGGTCAGCCAATTTTTGCCGAGCGATTCTTGGCAATACTCGAGGGGGAAGTACAGTAACTTTCCTATTATTTGTAATAGCAGCCTTTTCACTTCTATTTCGATGACAAAAACACCCGATCTTTAAGGTTGATTTGAGAACGTATGTGGAGATCCTCAAGGCTCCTGCTTTATGCCCCTTCAATTCCTAGTTTATATAAATGATCTATAGTTTTCTGATAAAAGGCAGTAAATAAACAATGTTTGGGATTGGGATTTGGAAGAAAACAGCGGTGGGATGCGGGAAATGCCAAAAACGGGCGCTTGATGGAAGGACGAAGGCAACTTTGCGTGCACCCTTGTTAAAAAGTATTGGTTTGATAATCACCATTTTTAAAAAGCTCTGAAGCTCTAGCGTTAATAGTTATTTTCATTGACATCTCCTCTTCTTCAAGCAATGTTTTGCTGTCTTATCATACATTATGAAACGTGTTTTTGTAACTTGTATGATAATCTTCTATATAAATTTCTGATTTTCAAAGGAGGGAGGGGGGGGGGGTGTTTGTTTTTCTATATCCTGAATAAAAATGCTGGCAAAAAGGATCAAAATGTTGGGCTTTCAAAAGTTGTCCAAAGGCATTCTAGAATAATTGTTTTGTTTTCATACAAAAATATCATAATGCGTCCTAATCTAGAAATGCTTTCACTTGCCCAGCTGCAAGCCCCATGCACACAATCGCCAGTCAGTTCACAATCAAACATGCACAAGGATAGGTATCGTCTCAACAAAAGTTTAGTCGTTCTGTAATCGAGAATATCCCTGTAATTGATAGTGCAGTTATAAGAACTTTTTTCACCACAAGGCATTAAAACTTCAACTTGACGTGAAAAAGATTAACGCTCGCTCAAGTTATTGATGTCGTTGTAGGCGGTCACATCCGCCAACGTATCGAAACTTTTTTTTAGAAACAAAATTCTAGTACAGGAGAGTTTGCATTTTTACATGCTTCTTGTAGAATTTCCAGCTTTGCTTGCAAAATAGGTCCATTCAATCAGTGCTTGAAATCTAGCTTTTTACGTTCAGGGGGAAGCATAGTAATTTTCCCTTCTTTTGCTAAAGCAGCCTTTTCGCTTCAATTTCAATTACAAAGTACTCGATTTTCAAGGTAAATTCAGCTACTTATATCGATTCTCAAATACAGATGAAATCAAATGTGGAGTTCCTCAAGGATCCTGCTTTGGGCCGTTTTCTGTTAAAAGCGGTGAAGCAGCGATGTATGCTGACAAAACAACTTTTCATATTCTTCTAAAGATATCGACAACAGTGTCTTGGAGTGAGCTTAAATAATCTGTATTTAAATGAAATTGAAATGATTGAAATACAATCAATGTCTACAGGTTCTAGGCCTTGTATAACAAAGGTATGAGACAAAAAAATAATGACCCTGTCTTTTACCATCAGAAAATTGGCGTATATTGATGTTTTAGATAATACTAAATACTGGCAAGTACAACTTGAGAAACTTGTATGGGACGAGCATTCTAAAGCCTTCATAATTAAAGTCTTCTAAAACTTGCAAAGATATCATGCCTTAAGATTTCCTAAAATATGCTAAGAAACTGCTTCCAAAAAATATCTTCAGTCAGGAGTAAAAGGGTTGTTAAATCAAGCAAGAGACGACTAATGTTTTCTTGCCCAAAATTACCTCTCGACACTATTAAAAACAAACTCAATGTCCCAGAAATTCTAAAACTGACAGAGTCACTCCACTTATGAAATGGGAAAGGCAAAAAAGCATCTTAATTTTCTAGACCAAAAGTTCGGAGTAAATTAGAACATGATGTCATAATTCTCCCTTTTTGTACCAAATTCCAAACTCATCCATTTAATTCCCTGCATATTCTTATCAATTATGGGATATTGGAGTCCATTTAACACGTTCATATTAGGATAAACATTTCAGTTTTAATCTAACATTTCTATAAAGAGCTAAAACAATCCCCCTTTTCTTCCAATAGATCTATATGCTGAAATGGCTCTTAATACATACAACAAAACAGAATCCGAGCAATAAGCCCCAGTTCAAAATCTGTGAAACTTAATGGTCTTAGTTACAAAAGAAAGGATTTCTTCTTTTCATAAGTCTGTTACCTCTCTATCGATAATTTTATGTTCAAGTTGGCATTGTTAACCGGCTGTTGCTTATAAGAGTGGCTGGTGCTTCCTGGATCTGAAACTAGGCTCAATCACACTTTTTGTGGAAGGATGGTATTAAGATCTCTGGAACAAAAATTATTTCGTATATAGGTAGGAGTGGAAATGAAGTTACCACTAAGGAGCTTATATACATAAATGTTCCTGGCAAAATCTTATTAATATGCCTAACCTTATAAAGTAGTAATCTCATGAAAAACTAAAAGCAAAAACTATGTAAAGCAAATTCAAAAACATAATTTTCTCACCAATTTGAATTCATGCTCAGATCTATGTGTAGTTGCATTTATAAATACTTTTGTTCTAGCCAATACAACTGTTCATTGAAGCTTTTTTCTCTGCGATTTGGTATCATTAACTTTAGGGTTTTCCACCTCAATTTTAAGTAAGGCCCTGACACTGGCAGCTGTAGTTTTTCAACAATCTTGTTCCAATCAATGTTCTTCTCTATAGTAACCCCAGTCTCTAGTAAATTTGATATCAGTAATCCAGTATTATCACGATTCCATAAAAGCTTTTTTCCACTTGCCTTATCTCTCAAAGACAGGTCATATATCCATTTAGTCCTACAGGACTCACAGCTCCTTGTTTTAACTTCAGATGCTATAGCTTCCCAGTTAAACACCACCTCACTACTTTGGCCACTATTTCCATTTTGACTCTTTTTATCATCCAATACTTTTGAGATTGCTTCTTGTAATCTATATACTTCCTCTGGTGTCCATTTTCTACTAATTATTGTAGGTGGGATTGCTGCCATATCACCATTGCTTGAGAAATTAATCAACCGTCTGATTTTATGAGCTATTGCAAATTTACTTCTTTTCATCTTTTCTCCAATTTCCGCCCATTGGTTGCCATGTTTGTGGTAAAGCTCTAAAAGTTGTTTTTCTTCTTTTTCTGTCCAGTTTCCTTTGTTATTATAGGGATCATAAGTTCTCATTACCTTCTCAAATACTAACTTAAGTGGTCTGTTGATGCCTTGAACAAACATACGATAAATATCTGTAAATCTCTCGTCTCTTACTTTGCCTTTCTTGCCCATCAGCTTCTCGAAAAACTCTTCATGAGACAATCCAGTATGAGCTACTGCTTTTTCAATATTGGCCTCAAGCAACTGAATCTCCTCCTTAGACCATCTCCCTTTTTCCCACGTAATCCCTTGCTTTTTGAGAAAGTCGAAATCAGCAGGAGTTATTTTCCATTTCAATAACAGTTCATGGTTTGAGTTTTCATTTGCTTTTATTTGAACAGGTTGTCTATATGTTTTTTTCTTGGTTTCAATTTCACTTTTCTTTGCAGTTTCCTTTATTACTTTTTGTGTCTCTTTGTTTTTTCTCCCAGATGAAAATTTAGTTTCTTTTCCATTTGAATTTACTTGACCATCCATTGTGCCTGAATTCTTCTTCTCAGCATCTTTTATATCAAATTTCTTGTTCTTTATCATTACACCTTGTTTCTTTTCTTGAAAAGATACCATGAGGTTTTCAAATGTCTGGCTATTTTCTTCATCTGATGAAGCAGATGATAAACCTAAGTTTAAGTCAACAGTTATGTCACAACTTTCATCATCACTGTCATTTGCAGAGTTCTGAACTTTCTTTTTTGTTACCTCAATGTTAGTCTGTTCCTTTTTGGGTGCCTCCCTCATTTCAATTTCTTGCTCGCCTTCCTTTTTCTTTTTCTTCTTCTTCTTCTTCTTCTTTTTTTCTTCTTTCTGGCAGACATTGTCCATCTCACATGCCACTTCAGTTTTTACTTCCACTTTGGCTTCCTGCTTCTTTTCATTTTCCCTGTCACCTTTATTTTTCCTATCCTTTTTTTCCTTTTTAACTTTAAACTCTTCAAAGGTCTCTTCAAGATCTATTTCGTTTTTTATCTTTTTTTCCTTATTTCTCTTTTTTTTCTTCTTTTTATGATCCTCCTCGACCAACTCCTCTGGTTTTATCTCTTTGATCTCTTTTTCTTTTTTCTTCCTTTTCTTTTTAGGGGGCCCATTTGCCTCTTCACTGTTTTTTCTTTTTGGTTCAAAACGGCCTAAATCTTTATCACTACCATGATGACCACTTTTGTTGATATCAAGTTCTTTTCTCTGTTCCATGCTTTCCTTCTTGCTATCTAACTTATTTACATCAACATCTTTTGATTTCTTCTTATTCTTTTTGTGCTTTGTATGATTTTTCAAACATTCTAATGATACATCCTGATTTTGATTAACGCACGAATTAGGAATACTTGAGTCGACTGCCTCCACGAGCTCCATTTTCTTTCGCTTAACCTTTTTATGTACAAAAACCTCCCCTTCGCCTTGCTTTTCCACACGTTCCCGTTTACGTTTCTTCTTTTTCGAACGGTGAGATTGTGAACAATCATTCTCGATATCAATGTCAACCTGTGACTTCTTCTTTTTGTGTTTCTTTTCGTGAACTGGCATTTTCTTCCGTAACAAATATGCACGAAATTGATTAGAAACTTATTTGGACCCAAGATCAGTGATTAGGAGATTAGGACAAGCAATCACACATGGAGCAATGGAGGAATACGGACGAAAAAGAGGCTTGAGCCTCGTATACTCATTGCAAAAAATCAGAGCATAAGGCGGCGGGGGCGGGTTACAGGGCACCCCAGAAATTGATATTTACTATTTACCACGTTGGTCTATGTACATACTTTGTAGATATCTTTCATAGAAAACAAAGTAGCAAATAGGACTTCAAAAGACCCTATTCAAAAATAGAATAATTCAAATGGAAGCAATTGGGTTACGGTGTCTAGCTTGAAAAGCGAAGAATTGCTAGCCTGCGTGCAGACTCGGAAAAACAATTTTCATGGTATAAACGTTGTATATTGACTATCGTGTCGAAATCTTTTGAAAATCCTATAATTATAACGACATTCGACATTGGTGAATTCTATTGCAACGGAACAAATTTTATAATGGCAGTCCTTTCGTACCAATTTTCAACTTTACAAACTTTTACAGCGTTTAATAATATTAGATTTCTAAAAAAAATCAAATATTTTTCTCCCGAAACATGCAGATGTAATGTAGGCCAAAACTGGAATTTTAGATAGCTTAGAAATACGTAAAATAAGAGGTTTTAAGCTTAGTAAATTTGGAAGCATTCGTACCTTAACGAATTATGGGATATTTGAGTCCATTTAACATGTTCATATTAGGATAAACATTTCAGTTTTTAATCAAACATTTCTCTAAAGAGCTAAAACAATCCCCCTTTTCTTCCAATATGCTGAAATGCTCTTAATACATACAACAAAACAGAATCCGAGCAATAAGCTCTGTGCTGCCCCCGTGCTACCACCGCACAACATAAACAGGGGGGGCAGCTGCCCTGTATATGATCGCTCACTTCCCCCCATGTTGCATGGTCATGTGATACAGTCCAAGGCTTCACAGGGGTTCAGAGTAAAACTGGGAAGCAGTAGAAATGGTAGAATGCATGTTGTTGTCTCCGAAATGGCCTGAATACCAAACTTAGTGCAGGCATCATGAATATCGGCGTCTCGAACCAGCACGGCAATGGCCTTCTTTATGCAGGCTTTAATCAAGATCAAGGTAGCTTTTCACCCTATCTTAGCTAAGTACCTTATCCGTCCTCAACTTCTTCTGGATAATAAGTCAATTCAATTGATTGGTTATTTAGCCTATCGGTTCATTAATTAGTGAACTGCTTTTTCAATATTCTGGTAATTTTTAAAATTATATTTATGCCTAGTCACTAAATCCTTATTGATAACAACGATGTGCTTTCCCACCTTCCCAGCTAAATAGATAAGCAATTATGATTAATCAAATACGTAATTTCCCCCATAATTAACACCTACGAGCATTGAAATTACCGATACCTTACAGGACATAAACAAATAATAAAAACCATAGAGAGACTGGTTTCCCATTAATCCCATTGACAGTGAAACTCTGAGTGGCAGCTTAGAAACGTCCTGCTCTATGCAGCAAGCAAATAGCACATACAGGTCTGCATATACCACAAAGAGTACTTTAAGACGACAGGTAAACAGTAATTTTAATAAGCATTAACTTAAATAATTTCAAGCAATTATTCAAAAGGGAAAACACATTGAGAAATGGCATTTGGAATGGCTGATTAAAAAACAACTTTGTCCTTTGTCTTTGTCCTTTGGTTAGGTAATGAAGAATAATCCAGTCGACAAAAATCTTTGAAAGTAGACATAAAATCTTTCAGTCAAGAAAATACCAGCTTTAATTTTATTAAAACAAAGTATGTAATAGGGGTGTACCGGATCAGGATTTTCAGAATCCGGCCGGAACCGGATTTACCGGATTTCTTCGTGGAATATCCGGCCGGATTCTACCGGATAATCTGACCATTTATAGAATTTTCAGTAATAAAAAGTTTTGAGCCACTTTGTGAAAAAAGGTATAGCGAGAAGATCAAAGAGGCCTATTCAGGGTTGCCAGATTGAATTTACAAACGAAGGCTAGACTGGTGAGCAATTTAAGCCAAAATGCTCATAAAAAGGGCAAATCAAAAACTCTCACAAGAATCCATCGAGCAGGCACTTGTTATATTTCTACGCTTGTGCCTGTTAGATAATTTCTTAGCTTTGATAAGAATCTTACTTTTTTCCAAAACCCTTTGCTAAAATCAAGATAATATTTAGGTTAGGTGATAAAATTTGAAATTTGGTTAACACTTTGTAGTTAACTACTAATTATTCTATGAATGTAGTAATTACTTATTAATTTTGGACGTCTGCTGAAAAGGCCAACAAGGTCAAATTTATTTAGTAAGCAAAAACAATTTTTCCAGGCAATCTAAATCTAAAAACCAAAAATGAAAAATTTGGCCTAAAAAGCCGATCTGGCAACCCTGAATTATATCATCCAGTCTTCCTGTTTCGTGATGTTTAGCACTTTCATTTCAAATCTGTTTTCAAGGCGCTTGTTTTATAGTCGATATTGTTTAGTTCTGGAAAATCCATTTTTAATCACTGTATGAAGGGAGTCTGACTTGGTTTCCAAATTTTCTTAGTTATGATTAAAGTTCTGGAAAATCCGGCAACTGGCCGGATTTCGGAAACAAATCCGGCCGGAACCGGATTTTCAAAATATCAGCGATCCGGCGCCGGATTATCCGGCCTACCGGATATCCGGTACATCCCTAGTATGTAAATGTACATATTGGATGTCCATGAAAGTTGGAGTTTACAAGTTCTGGACCAAAGCGTTGGATGGTTGATTGTCAAGGCCAGGTGACACTTCCATAGAAAAAAGAATAAGTAGTTTTAGTTGGGACACAAATAATAAATGTCCTTCCCTTTTTGTTTTTTGTGCAAAAATGTGTGCAAAAACTAGGTCAGTATAATTTGAGTTCTAAAAAATATGCATAAAGTCTTTCTTTGAGATATCCTGCCTGTTACGAATACTGAAGAAATGTTCCAACTCAACCAGCTTGGAATGGATCTGATTCCTTTGAATGTAATTGACAAATTCTGGGAATTAAATGAAATTCTTCTTGGAGATAAAGCCTTACAAGCATGCTAGGCTTCCATCAATGACAACAGAGGGATTTTGGCTTTCACGTCCGAAAATTCAACTTCATGAAAGCATACCCATATTTGTAGTGTTGTTTTGTTATCATTGTTTATAGTAATTTGTAGGTAGCTCAAGTAGCTTGATTATACCTGATTTGCATTAAGGCTGAGCCGGCTTTGTCTAAATCAGGTTAGATTTAACCATAAAATGCATCCAATCAGAATGCACAGATTAATGATCTGGTTTGGTTTGGTTTGGGCTGGTTTGGCTTGGCGGTGTGAGTGGGGTATGAGCAAGCTGTATCTTAGATGTTAGTCTAGTTCTCTGTCTTTATGTTATGGCCGTTGTGTAGTCATTTATTTTTGCTCCCATGGCATCGTCCTGTAGTAGTGTTGCATAGTTATTTAAAGTATAGTAGAATGTAGCCTATGTTTGTAATATTTTATATGGATATAAAAAAAGTATTCCCTCAATGACAATTGATACAGTAAAGTAACTTTTATTGTTTAGACAACATATAATTTGCCCTATCAGGGGACTTGCTTTTGTCAAAAGTTGTCTTGTTTTGAACAACAGAGCCCATTCCACTGAGAAGCAGGCCGCGAAAAAAGATGTAAGACCCCGTTGTAAGACCACTGTGCCGGATGAAATTTATCTGCATAAAACTTGTTCTGCATATAACTGCAGTTACATGACCTAAATCATGCACAGAACACCCAAATCAAAGTCATCTCTGGGCAACCAAGTAACAACAAATTTCCCGCCAACGTAAAAAGACTTCATTCTCTCTTCAGAATCATCTGCTTCTCTTTTAGACCAAATCCAAAGATATTGTCAATACAATTAGGCCTAGTTTGTTTTAATAGTTTGTTCAAAAAACAAAATGACACTGAACTAGCAACGAAAGTAGGGAAAGCTGACAAGGATGCCAATTTTACTTGGACGGGCAAGATACTGCACTTTTAACACAAGTATTTTTCAATAACAGGCAGCCAAGATGGCGAAAGGTCTTGACTGGGAGACAGTGAAAAATAAATTGGATGAAATAGCCAATTGCTTTTGAGCAAGATACGATGTGGATACATTTTATCCAGATAAAAGCGTTTACGCTGTACCACAAAGCTATCCAAACTAATTTAATCCACTTTCCTAGGTGAACTAATTTTGTTTCTCAAATTCAAATTCATTATCTCAAATTCATGCGGATAGGGTGGGTCTAGTGTAAACGCGATGCCTATCTGAACTAATTTTGATGCAGATAAAATTTATCCGGCACAGTGTAAACGGGGTCTAAATTGATGGGATTTAGGAAGACTATTTTAGTTCTGTTATTTTATTTCGAGGGTAATAAACTTGTTGATGACCTTTGAAAGAATCATCCTCAATGGACATAGTTTTCTAGTTGATAGTGAACTCCATATAGACTCTCTGTATATTGCAGGTTGTTTTGCTTGTGGAATGGAAAATGGATTTAGAATTTATAACAGTGACCCACTGAAAGAGAAGCAAAGACAAGGTAGATTAAACCTTCTAAGTTATTTCAATGATTTTAAAAGTTTATTTTCCAAACCCTTGAAAATTGTGTATTATTTGAAATTGATACTTGGATAAATTATTTTTTAAATTAGGCTAGTCTTGATTTGTGTTTAGCATTTTGAATTCTGTTTTGATTATATTTTGATGGGAGAACTCATTGAATAATTTCTTTTGCAAAAGTTATAGTTGTGTAGTGGCTCTCCTTTTCAATTTCTAAATTACTTTTTAGTCTGCTGGCTATTACAAGCTGGTTATCTAGCAGTTTTGCCTTTGATTTCTGGTAGATAGTGCTCCAGCCTGGTCACTAAATTTTGTAAAAATAATAAGCATTTCAATAAAGCATTTTAATAAAACCTTTCCTTTGTGAACATCCATATTGTGTGTGATGAATATAAATCACAAAATTTGATAAAATTTTCTATTGATTTTGTATCAGATTTTGAAGATGGGTCCATTGGCCATGTGGAAATGCTTTTTAGATGTAACTATCTGGCACTAGTTGGTGGTGGTAAGAATCCAAAGTACCCACCAAATGAAGGTAAATATGATACCCTGCCAAAAGATGTTTTTCATGATCTCATTTGTTAACACATTATTTGAAGAATTTTTATGAACATTGATTACTGATATATAAGCTATAAAAATTATTATTAGTGCTTACTGGTCTGTCATTTAGCACTCAATGCTGATGTCGTAACTGTTGCCTGATGATGGCATATCAGAGTTGGACAATTCTGGTAAAAAGGTGGTCCTCCGTTTAGGATACTAGCAGCTAGTCTCCCCCATATGACTTGTGTTCTCCCAAAACGGAACTCTAATGATAGTGATAGACAATTCTAGAAACAATTTGGTCACCTGGCAGTTAACCTGTGAAATGATAAGCAGTCTCCTGCCGATAAAAACTGGGGTCTTCCCGGCTGCACGAAAGAATGAATTGTCCACCCCTGCATATAGTGGGAGAGACTTGATTTGCAACTCAGAATACTGCTGTATATCTAGCATAAAAATATGGATAAATGTTCATTTACAATATTATTGATTATAATTGGCATATAAGGGCATATTGAATGCTCACCAAAATTATTTTTTAAATAAGTTGTGCGATATAATAATAATCATATGATTGGTTTTGGCCGATCAAGCCTGAAGTTCAAATTGTATTTTCCCTTTTCTTTAATTGTGATCTCTATCTGTTCTAGTCAAAATATGGGATGATTTAAAGAAAAATGCTGTGATAAGTCTTGACTTTTCCAGTGATGTTAGGGCTGTCAAGTTACGAAGAGATAGGTAGTTATTTTCAAAACAATATTTATCCATGAGGAATTTTTTTCCAAATAACTTGATTATTCTCTTCCTCTCTGAAACTATTTTATTCAGGGGTGCTTGATACTTGACTCTGATGTAACTCCTCAATTTCTTTCATGTAAAATTTTGTTTAGTTTTAACATTTTAATACAATGATTTATAATCCCCATTTGCATATTGCAAAGTGTTTCCTCAATAATGATTTCATTAACTTTTTGTTCGAAATTGTTACCTTCAAAAAATTTTACTTTATTAAGATGCAGCTGCTAATGAACTAGAAAACAAGAAGTGAAGATGTTTGTCTGGTGACTGAAAGGATAAAGGATCTCTCTGTCACTCTTCCATGTTATTCAAAAGATGCTCATAAACAATGTTCCAGCCCACATTTCTTTCAAATTTCCTTTTTAAAATAGGAAGTTAATTTTTACCACAAATTTATTGTTTCAGAATCGTTGTTGTGTTGGACACAATGATCAAGCTTTACACCTTCACCCTCAACCCACAGCAGCTTAATGTGTTTGAAACCTGTCCTAATCCTAAAGGTACATCTAAATCCAATATAATTTAAAGATCAATTGACCTTTTTATATACAAAGCAAGTATTGTCATGTCTATATGTCATTTTGTTATCTTTTAATGTTGATGTCTGCTGTTAGCTGAAAAACAGACTATTTAAAATGTCCCCCTATGTGTACTGTACCCTTTTTTGCATCTCAATTCTGGATTGAGCTTTGCATTTAGTTTACCTGTAAACTCCATCAGCCCCCCTTTTGCATCTCAATTCTGGATTGACCTATGCATTGAGTTTTCCTGTAAATTCCATTAGTTTATTGACTATGCCAGGCAAGGGTGAATAATTTATAAGATTACATGTTTTTGAATTTACATGTCAATTCAGAATCAGTTAAATTTTTGTTCACTCAGACCTTTTTTGAACTATGCCATTTACTGTGTAGTGCATTTTCAATGTTTTTACTGCATGTTCACCCATATTTCTTTCCAGAACTTTGGCTTTTAACCTTAACACCCACATTTTGTATTCTTTCGAATTCCTTTACATTTTCTGCTTTTGTGCCACCAATTAACAAAAACTGTTTTCTACCCAATTAGGTCTATGTGTGTTGTGCCCAAGTAGTAACAACTCATTACTGGCTTTCCCTGCAAGGAAAACTGGCCATGTTCAAATAGAAGACCTTGCAAATACCGAGAAACCTCTCAATGAGATTGAGGCACATGAGGGACCATTAACTTGTATTGCAATGAACCTTCAGGGAACTCGTCTGGCTACAGCATCTGAGAAGGTAGAGTTTGTAATTTCATATGTTGTACTCTTAGAATGTTTATCTATCAAATTTAGAATTCTCCAACCTTATCAAGAACCTGGGTCATAGCTGTTGAAAAAACTTCCAAAATACATGCAGACATTAACTCTCTTCCTTCATACAAAGTTGAAGCACATGTTTTTAACATGAGAGATTGCAGGGTCTTAACACTAACTATCCAGGATTTTATGCCCAATGGAAAGCCAGACTTTCACTCTGTAGAGAAATTTCATGAAATAGTAAGGCTCAATATTTCATCCAACCAAAATTTTTTGTAGATATGTGATGTTCATAATGTTTTGGCTTTAGGGTACGCTGATAAGAGTTTTTGATACAATGAATGGACAACAACTGCATGAGCTCCGGAGGGGTGCAGGCAGTGCTAATATTTATTGGTAAGTAACAGTTGCTGCTGTCAACATAGTGTTATTCAGTGGTAAAGTACTATACTGCTCATTACAAAATAAGCACAGTGATAAACAAGCTCAGCCACTAGAAGCCGTATTATTGGCAGTGCTAATATTTGTAACACATTGCAAGTGTTAAAGTGCTACACTGTTTGATACAAAACAATCACAGTGATATACCAGTGTAAAAACTTTGGCAGTGTGAACACTGTAAGGGTTGGTTGGGCATAAACTTACAGTCACAAATCCGAGATGACCTGTCCACTACATTTTATCATCATGCCATGTTGAAATAAAACCTCTAGGTGGACAGCAAGATTTCTTTAAAAACAAGGCAAAATTTATCTAGCTTTCTTAGATTTCTAGAGGTATTATTATATGACACTTGCTATTGGCAGATGGCATAGTTTTGTTGCTAAACGACAAAGTGAATGTGAGCACAAATTTTCGTCCTTTTTATCTCATTAGAGTAGGTTTTCTGACAAAATTCTCAGCTTCTCAAGAAATCACTATTTTTAAGACCTATTGGAAGTACGTGCTACTTTACTCACCATTATTGAAATTGATTTTTTTGTCATTTTCATAGCATAAATTTCAATCATGATTCATCAATGCTATGCGTCTCAAGTGATCATGGAACAGTTCACATTTTTGCTGTCGAAGAACAAAAGAAGACAAAATCATCTAGGTAAAATGACCCTGGGTCTATACCATTGTGACCTTTAATTATGTGAATGAGTAATTTTCAACTTGCTAATTTTTTATAACCTTTAAATTCGCTTTCTTCTATTCAAAGGACTTTTTGCTAATCTGTTAATTTTCTGCCTTTTTTCATGTCAAAACTGTTGCTCTGTGCTCCCCGTATAAGAACTGATCTGCTTAGCTTGTATTTTAAAACTAGCAGCCAGTGTTTCAAACGATTTAGGGATAAAGATGTCCTTTCATCACTGTTAAAACCTGTTATGATTGTTTTTAAGCTTATGCCTAACACAGCAACGATTTCGGAGTACGTTTCATATTGAGTCGCAGTCTATTAATTTTAAGAAAATACCCAGTTAGTTCTGACATCTGAAACTAAGCCAAGACAACCTAGCTGTGAGCAACGATCTACTTTTGTAACCACGCTTCTCTTTTATGGGTTAATACTCATATTATTGAAATTACTACAGGTTCATAATCCCCAAATTTTTTTATTTCATTTCCCGAATCACTTCACATCTCAATAAATTACCTTATGAAAAGATTTCGAGATCACAAATGTGGCACGCGATTTTCAAATGACCAGAAAATCACCGCAAAGTCCCAGATATGCATTTTAAATACTTGCAATGCCTTTTCTGTAATCAAAAGACTTTTGTTGTCATCTTGTTTGGATCTTATTTTTTATAGTTCGTCCAGCGCACATAGTCTTTTACCGAAGTATTTCAGTTCAAAATGGAGCTTTTCGCGATTCCAAGTGCCAAGCGGCTCACACTGTATCTGTGCATTTGGCGCAGACAAGAACTCCGTCATAGGTAGGTTTAAAATGTTTATTACAGCAGATTCATTTGAAAGACAGAAGGAGAGTCATTTTCTCTCCTGGACTCTTCAACTAGGTAAAAAAGGCTAGCTGTCGCCGATTGGTCAAAACAAGGAGCCAATCAAATGCCTCAATTTATTCTATGTCATTATCAATCAATGTTATCGACCAATAGAAAAAAGAATCAAATGCCTCATTCTTCCTCTCACGCTACTTTCGATCTGCTTCTGAATATGAATTTCTGCTGAAATTTCGTCATTATTCGACGTTAATTCTCTGAAGAGTCGAAAGATTTTTAATTTTTATTTGTTTCCCACTGTTTCTTGTTATCATTAAAAGGTTTTTTCACAGTTAATGCCCTTATATGTACTTAAAGGAGGTAACACGCTATTTTAATCATTAGTCGTTAGTTAAGGTAAAACTTATTTTGAGGAAGGGGTGGTGACTCGTGAAAGAATATTCGCAGGAGTAAAATGCGAATTTGCCGAACAGGTTGCTTCGAAAACCGAATGTTTTGGGGTAATCACACCAAGCCCTCGCTCTACCCGCCTCTATTGATTGTGCAATTTTTACTTTCTAGCAATATGCGCGGATGGCAGTTACTTCAAGTTTACATTTACACAGAAGGGTGAGACGACCAGAGAGGCGTACAACCAATTTCTTCAGATGACAGATGGAGATTAGGCCCGCATGCAATGAATTTCCGATTCCACTTCAAATTGACGATTATCAACTCTATGTCAGGTTTAAATGACAGACTATCAGATGTTTTTATGCTATTGAAATTAGGCCTTTTAGACGCATTCCTCGACACATTTTATGTATTTAGTTTAGCTTTTTTACTAGCCATGTAGAAAGAAAAACCGTCATATTCATTTAAGTCTCAAAGCAGATAATGTTGTTGTCATCGCATGAGATTTGAATGTAAGGCAGGATATATGAAATGTGTACAGGGTATGAAATAATAAAAGGAAACTTTAAAAGGAACTGAGAGAAAACTCCAGACCAGAAATATCGCATGCAATGACAAACAGAGCTAAAAGCCGGAAGAAAGCAGATGGATAAAGCCGCAATGAAGACCTTGACAAAAATCTTACTTAATCGGAAATATTTGTTGTTTGATAAAATTATCTCAAATTCAAATACATAAATATGTTTTAAAGGCTTCAAAGGTCGTAAATTGTTAGTTATTATTTGTAAATGTTTTCAGCGTACAGGTTACTTTATTCGAGATCAAAAATAATTTCATACCTTATAAATTTCGGGAAACATAACTCAGATATTCTTTGCAGCTGAAATATAAAATCGTATTAAAGTGAATGTTGGTTAAAATATTACATCACAGTATTGCTTAAAAGACTGAATATAAAAAGAGTTCCTTGTAAACTTCAGAAAACAGATCGTTTGTGAAGGATAAGGTCACTGGGGGAAAATAGGGGGAGGGGGGAGGGTTGTCGTTAAGCAAAATTAAGGGAGAGATCACTGTTCCCTTACGGATTTTTCTTTAACATTTTGCGAAAATGCTTAAAAACAGAGTCGGTTGAAGAATGTCTGGTCCCAGTACATGTTTCACAGTCCAGTACGAAGTCTTAATTATAAGTTTATTGTTCTCTTTGTCACGAAATTCTAAAATTTACTTGAACATATTTTTACTTGCTTCTTGTACCGTCCATTAGGTTATCTGAAAGTCTAATTAAAAGCAGATGTTAGCGCATACATCTAAATGATTTTGAATAATTTACGCGACCTTTGTTAATTGCTGCTGTCACAGCACCACTTTAATTTGTAAATTTTATCTAGTAAATATAAACAGATTTTTGTGTTCTTGAATATGTTTTGCATGATTAACGAAACAAAGGTTGATTTTGTTCAGAAAACCTTTTATACTGTTATTGAAAATGTAGATGCATAATGACAATTGAATTGAATTATATATAATTGCAGAACAGTTTCATTGACTTGTTGTTAAATTGTTAGAAGGTTTTTGCTTCTTGTCCAAAATTTTTTTTACAAAATTTATGCCTAATAGCGAATAGAAATAGCAATGAAGGGAGGGCTTTTGCGGTAGTTATAACCCCATTTCCACTTTATCACCTCTATCTCACCATAAGAATTTATAGGGTATTGTCAACTTTTACGATATTCTAATAAAGGTATCACAATTAGGAAGATGGGACACTCAATTGTTGCAAAATCTGAAAAAGGAATAGAGCATGATCTCAGATATTTTTCCGAGAGGCTTAGCATGGCCCCCCAATTATCATCCATCCACTCTGCACAGTTCTCAATTGCACAACAATTTAAAAATAGGTTGTGACCACTCTGAAAATATGAGTTGTAAAGAAGATTTTGAGAAGACAATACGTAGCCTGTGCCCCAGACCCCTACTTCTGCAACACAGGCTAGTGATACAAGGCAAGCTCGATTCGGTAGGGAAATTTCACATAATCGCATTCAGGAATCCGCTTTTCATAGTGTAGCATGTTAAGCTTTGACAAAATCCCATGGTTGAGCCAAGTTCTTTGCCACCTTAGATGAAAATTAACTAGTAAGCGTTCAGTCCTACTTCTATCATTACAACATAGCTTTGGATCTGGATATTTCTTCATAAGGCCTTTTTAAAATAATCGCCCTTTGCCTCCGTTGCAAATAATCGCCCTGTTTCACTCTTTAAGCAATGCCAATAGGTTGGTTCTTTACAATATTTATAGATAGATAGATCTATTTCTCAAGGGTCTAGGTATGACCAGACTTGAAATTCACATCCGTCTTATTAAAATAATCGACCACTCTAGTATTAAATACATTCACATTTTTAATCCAAGGTGATCTTTCGAGGCTAGAAACAGCAGGCAGCTTAGGAAATTTGCGCGATTTTTCAATTAGCTGATCGCTTTTAATCATGAAAACCGATTTTTCGTACATTTTTAAGCATCTTTATGCGATTTTGCATTGCATAATGGTCGAATAGCATTCTCGACATGCCCTGCCCTTCATTAGATGTTGCAGTCTAAAAAAGAATTGTTCGCAGTTGAGAATCACATATCATGTGCATTGATACCTTGATTATCAGTCCGCGCGAGTTTTGCTTACGTTTGTTCCGAGCCATGTATTGCCTGGATTTACCCATTTTTATCAATCTTTACCTCATTCAGCATTGGCGTTCTACTCATTTTGTAAAAAATGCATCCTCAGAAAAGTAAAGCTTAAGTAATTTGTCACAGTTTTGAACGCTTCATTACTTCAGCCACCTAAAGTTTTAGGTCTTAACTGTTGAACCAGATTTACTTTACATTTAATGAATATGGCTATTTTTTCGAACTCACTCACTCGCTCACACAATCATTCTTCCACTCAAATCACTCACTCACAAACTCACTCAGTCACTCACTTCCTTACTTACTCAAGCATACACATAATCGCTTATTCATTGCTCACTCGCGTATCCTGCCTTGCCTTTCTGCCTTGTTTTGACATGGCAAATAAAATGCCTGCTGTTTGGGAGACTTTTTGGGAAATAAGAATTTTCATGCAAGTTTTGGAATGACTAGGGCCCCATTGCCAAAGTTCTCAGAGTCACTAATAGCCTGTACGTCACAGAGTCACAATGAAAAATTTTAAGCTTGTCTGTCACTGTTGCGAGCTAAATAGAGACATGCGCCGACGTCTTCCAAAAGTTTACAAATGTGCCTGTTTTTTTAAAGAAACTGTTCCTCTTTTTATGAAAAGAGGCCTTTTAAGGATTATATGCCTATATGCCCAAACATATTTTCTCGACAAATGCTCCGCACAACCAGTGCTCTCGAGTGTTATTTTTGGTATGTATGGGAAGGTAAAACTTGGAGACAAAATTCAAAATGCAATATCACTGAATTTGTTATCATTTATTGTTCTATTTTGTAGCTTACAAAGCTTATAATCCAAATTCATTGCCTTTAGAATAACAACCCAGGGTATTTTTGCCAAATTATTTTTGTATACATTCCTCACTACTTGTTTCGGTAGAAGCCACAAACATGCTTCTAAGTCCTTCTAGCGCCTAGTTAATATCTTGTTAACTTCAACTCAAAATAAGTGGTTGTTTTTTGTAACTAATGCTTTCCATCTTTTTCTATAAAACGTAACGGGCTTAATGGTCTCAACCAACGTCTAATGGACTAAATAAACATTAATGTTCTCGTTGATAATTTAGAGAAGTCTAGAGAAGATATTTTGACGTAAGAGTTCTTTAAAGCCCTCATCCCTTCATTCAATAGCTCTCATTTCTTCCATTTGCCCATGTCAACTCTATGTAGTTAGTTTTTAAGGTAAAAGTAAAAAATGTGGTCATGAAATTTCGCATTGTATCTTATAAAAGATGTGATGTTTCACTGTTCAAAATCTCTTTCTTTGCATCGTCAAATTTAATATGCAAGAGATACATTTTCTTTAGGAGGTACGTGGAGTGCAACGCAAATACTATATTGCAACGCAAATACAATATTGCAACGCAAATACTATATTGCAACGCAAATTCTATATTGCAACGCAAATACAATATTGCAACGCATATACTATATTGCAACGCAAATTCTATATTGCAACGCAAATACTATATTGCAACGCAAATACTATATTGCAACGCAAATACTATATTGCAACGCAAATACTATATTGCAACGCAAATACTATATTGCAACGCAAATACTATATTGCAACGCAAATACTATATTGCAACGCAAATACTATATTGCAACGCAAATACTATATTGCAACGCATATACTATATTGCAACGCAAATACAATATTGCAACGCAAATACAATATTGCAACGCATATACTATATTGCAACGCAAATACTAGATTGCAACGCAAATACTATATTGCAACGCAAATACTAGATTGCGGCTTGTTTTGGATAAGACCCCATTAAGTAATGCATAAATTCTTGAATCGTGGAAAAAATTGACAGTGGCTGGAACAGATTGAATTCATTGGGAATGAATGTAGCTTCTACGATAAAGGTTTTACTGAGATTTTTTAAAGATGAAGATTTGTCCTTTCCACCTGAGATGATTATGTTAAAGAGCAGATTTAGGCATAATTATGATTGAATCATATCAGCTCATCTACTCAGTTTTTGGCAAAAAACGAATTACAGATTTCCCGGTTTCGCTTGAATATTTTCAAGTGATATTAAAATCGTTTATAATATGCTATTTACAATGATACGTTTTTGTTTGCAGGCATTATTGTTTTATGTTTAAAGAAATCAGTCTTCTTTAGCGAGCAGAGTACCTCCTCCTCGCCAGCAGGGGTTCTTTCATCATATCGTAATGCGTAGACGCGGACGCCCGCCGCACTGTAGTGTCTCTTTCGAATGCCTGCGACGATTCCGAGTATGCTGAGAAGTCCGTAACGGTGGAAGTTCTAGAACTCATACGAGATCTTGATGTCTGTTTTGCGTGCGGCTTTTCCACGTTGGGAAGCATTGGAACGCTGTCCGTTTGAGCCTCGCGCTCATTCGGGTCATACGGTCGCCGGTAAATTGAAAAATCCGATGCAGTACTAAACGGCGTTGCAGTAGCGTTGAGCTGTTGTGGAGATGTAATGCTTTGCTTATAAATCATCGGCTTCACAATTTTGAGCGTCGGTTTACCTTGTCTGTCCAAGTACGATGTACCGGCGTGGTTGTTCCGTTTTATTTGAGCAACCCACAACTCGCGTTGCTTTGATTCTATTTCGTTGCACATGCTTCCATGCGTTTTCGCCCATACTGAAACATTTTTATCGAGATTCATCTGCAAACTGCGATTTACGACATGAGCGTACCTAACTTTGGTACCGGTCCAGCGGAATTTGCTGTTTCCCATGGCTTCGTCCTTCTCCCATCGTAGCCTTTTCCCGCCAGTTTCGTCAAGCGATTTCTCAAAATTCGACAAAGTTTGCGCGTATTCTAGAAGGAGTTTTTGATAACTCATGCTTCTGTTTGAAAATTATCTGTGTTTAATTTGTTAATGTATTTATCAGCAGATACTAGAATGAAAAATGTGAAAAATCTACTTGCTCTTTGAACAAAATAATACACTCTTTGTGAATCTCTGAGATAACCATAAAATGAGACAATAAGGGCGAGAAATTGTTATCGTTATCGACGCCTTTGATTGCACACCAGTGGGTCTTGATAGCATATATGTTTAATTTCGCTCACCCCAATGGAAACCACTTTGATAAGAAGCTAGCCTGTTGATTCTGAATCTCTATATCGCACTTATCGCTG